GAGTAGATGCATCCTTTTTACTGCAAATACCAGTCCGCTGTGTGGATAGACCACGTTTTGCTTACCTGTTCACCAGCTGGTGGACGTGGGGGCTGGTTCCAGTTTGAGGCTCTTATGAACAATGTCACGGACATTCGTGTCCTCGCGCCTGGGTAGAGTCTCTGTTTTATTTCTCTTGGGCAGATTTCTAAGAAAAGGACTGCTGGATCGTGTGATAAGTGTATGCTTCATGCTTTAAGTAGCTATCAGACTGCTCTCCGGGGGCGCCGTGCTCCCGTGTGAGGCCATCGGCAGGGCACACAGGTCCCAGTCCTCCAGGTCCTCACCGACACTTGGGGTCGTTGGTTACAGTCCGCCTGGTGGGTGTGAAGTGGTGTCTGCTCGTGGTTTGAACCGCTGTCTCCCTGGCCGCTCGCCATGTTGGGCAGCTCTCTCTGCACACTCATTCCTAGATTGGCTTTGCCTTTTTTCTCTAAAAGGACAGATAGCAAATATTTGGGGCTTTGCGGGCCACACTGGATTTCTCTCCCATGTTCTTTTTCTTTTTTAAAGATTGATTGATTGATTGATTGATTTGACAGAGGGAGATATAGCGAGAGAGGGAACACAAGCAGGGGGAGTGGGAGAGGGAAAGCAGGCTTCCTGCAGAGCAGGGAGCCCGATGCAGGACTTGATCCTGGGACCCTGGGATCATGACCTGAGCTGAAGGCAGATGCCTAATGACTGAGCCACCCAGGTGCCCCTCTTTGGGGTTTTCTGCTTCACAACCCCTAAGAACATTCTTGGCTTCCTTGCACGAAGCGAAGCAGGGGTCTGGGTTTGGCATCCTGCCGCACTTTGCCAACCCCTGCTTTAAGCCCCTCATGCCCCTGCTGAAAGAATCCAGTGGCCCATGGAGTCCACGCTGAACATGGCAAGAGGTCACCCACCCCTCCTGGTGAAGGGGCTCACCGACAGGACGATCCTGCAAAGCCAAGGGCCAGGCTCCCGAGGCGTCCCCATCCTAGCCCCGTGGTGATTCAACACCAGATGAGCTCATCAGAGTTCTTGGGATGAAACCTGCTAATCTGTCACCCAAGGCAGTCCCGCGCAGGCCTCCCTCTGCCCTGTGGCTGCCCTGTCCCGGACCTTAGAGCCTCTCGTGGGAGCCAGCAGCCTCTCCTCCCTGCCCCCACCGTGATCGCCATGGTCGCTCCACCTGCTGCTCCTATTAGAGCTTCCCACAGCTCCTCCACCCCTGGGTGCCTGGCCTCCAGCTCTCCAAGCCTGTGGACTTGTCCCAGGCCTCACCGCATGCCACCCAGCATTCTTGACCCCCTCCATCACTGTGCCTCTCGACATCTCTACCCTTCCTCTCCGCTGTCTGCATCAGCCCCGACAGAGGTGATAGACGCCTCTGGAATGAACCAGAGCCAGTCTGACTCCTGAATTGTCCCTTTGTAGCTGTGTGACCTTGGGCAAATCAGGCCACCTCTCTGGCCGTGAGAGTCCTATGCGTAAACGGGACACTAGAGGCTGGTAGTAGACGTTACAGACAGGCCCTCAGCCACTGGGCTCACTGGGACGACATGTCATTGCCTGGGGCCATGTTCTTTTCCAGCTACGGGAGTGCTTTGTCCTAGGCACAGGGCAGTGGAAGTACGGCCGTGTACAGGGAGTTGGTGGGTAAATGATGCAGCTTCCTCACTCCCTGGGGGTGGCGGAGGGGTGGGATTCATGGTCTCCTCGAGTTCCCCATGGGATTCACAGCCAGCTCCATGGTGGCCCAGTCATAATGCTTGGTGGGGCCCCGTTAATGATCCCCTTCTCCTCTCCTGCCCCATTAATAACTGCCTTCTCCTCTCCTTCTCTTCTCCTTTCCTCCTCCACCCTGCACCAGTGTGTCCTACATGTAAATGAAGAAACCGTTTGCACATGGGTTTTTGTCTTAGGGTCTGTTCTGGGGACTCTTAGCCTGTGGCAGGTCCCCAGCTCCGGGGTTACCATGAGGATGGAACGAGATGATGCTCAGAAGTGCTCAGTGGGGTGCCTGGTGCATAGTATGTGCTCATTGTGCATTGGCCCTTGTCACAGCCCTGGGACCTTCTGGTTTTGAATGCACCCACTGGTCCTGGGGAGGTCTGTTAAGCAAGGGCTTGGGTGCTTGCAAGAGAGCTGTTGTTCTTCCCCTGTAAGGAGGGGTGCGTCGGTGAGCGCTGAGACTGATGCCGCCCTCTGGGCCCTTTTGCCTGGACCTTGGTGCCTCAGAGTCTCGGGGATGTCTGAGCGTGGAGAGCTTAGGACCGCAGCACTCACGCCCCTCCCCACTGTGTGAGGGTGTGTGCCCCACCCCACAACACGCTGACTGTATTTGGCAAAGTTTCAGTGAGGGTTGGGTGGAACAGTGTTCACCAAAGATTAATGATAGCTATTTCTAGGTTGTGGGATTTTTGAGGTCTTTTTTCACTTACCCTCTCCTTTGTGCTTTCCAGCGTGGTTCAGATTTCTTACAACGAGCAGGCATCATTTTCACAAAAAGAATGAAGTCATTATTCCTTCAAAGGTAAATAACTTGCAGCTGATCAGTAGATAGGGCTTTCACGGCCCAGACCATATGCCACTCTGGAATCTACTGTGGGGAGACATGGGTGCGAATCGTGTGGTTTTCTTTGGGGCTTAATACACGGCCCATTTCTATGGCCATTCCGCGGTCATTTAACAATAAAGCAATTCTCTGGGTATGGAGCAAAACCACCGTGTCCAGGACTCATAGGAGGATGCATCTTCTGGGAAGGATCGGTTCTCGCCTTGGGAAATGTCCCCATGGTGTTAGACTTTGGGCAGTCTGTTGGCATAGGCTGGGCAGCGTGGAGGCGGGCCATGCCATGCTCCTGGCTGACGGGGATGGGGACTGGGGCTGCTCACCGGCCCAGGGTGGCCTCAGGGAAGTGGGTGCGTCTTGTCGTGAAATTCATGGGGCTCAACACATCCTCATTGTCACGATCACCCCCACTGACCTTGTAATCACTGTTCATGGACACCCTCTCTTGACAAAGCTTGCTGTGTGTGTCTTCCAGTCCTTAGAGGATCTAAAATGGTCGACAAGTCAATGTTTCTGGCATTTCCGCTCCCCTGCCTGAAGAGAATGATGCTATCTCCACTTCCCCCACTTGTCTCCTCTGCCCTGCTACCCCTCGGAAGGGGACTTGTCTCGTTCCAGTTCTTGATGAGGGATGGTGACTGTCAGAGCACAGCCAGATGGAGAGGGAGAATGAAGGGGCTGTCCTGGGTTGTGGGCAGGCTAGCCGGCAGGTGAAAAAAAGTGGCATGGCAGGGACAAGCTACATTGATTTCCATAAGAAAGATCAGGATTTGGGGCATGTGGGTAATTCATTCTGTTAAGTGTCTGCTTTCAGCTCAGGACATGATCCCCAGGCCCTGGGATTGAGCCCCGCAGTCGCGTTGGGCTCCCTGCTCCGTGGGGAGCCTGCTTTCCCCTCTGCGCACCAACCCCCCCGCCCCAACTGGTCCTCACTCTCTTAAATAAATAAAAATTTTAAAAGATCTGGGCTGGTGAGGGGAAACAGACTTCGGCGTGAGTCAGCTATGTGGATGACAGTGGTAGTGATGGGGCCTGGTTAGCGAGCAAGAGAGTGGAAACTCATGGAGTTTGGGAACAAACAGGAGATGGACAGTGGGGTCCTGCTTGCATGGCTGCGGGTGTCCGCCTCATCCCTGTAAAGTTTCTCCAAAGAGACGGGTTAAGAATCCGGGTTCCTTCTTTGTTGCCAGGGTCTCTGTTCGGCCTCTGCCTTCTAAAGTGGCTCTGTACGGAGAGTGGCCACACGGCTCCAGCATTTGAGAAGGTCACACACTGAAAGAGGCTGCCTGGTTTATAGAAGAGGAAACTGAGGCTCATAAGGTGATAGGCTTCACAGTAAGAACCGGGCCTGACTCCAGAGTCTCTCTTGTGTTCCGCTGTGAGGCCTCGCCCAGCAATTAACTAAGGCTGACAAGGATGGTTCCCCCAGATACTTCCTCAAAGGCCCTGGGTTCCAAGACCACTTTGTGACTCCAAACTCAGAAACTCGGTGGTCCTGGAGACCCTGGCAGCCTCAGGGGCTGGTGGAGGACCCTGACCTCCTCCCTCTCCACTCCCTCAGTGAGACTCTGGCTCCAAGATTGTGACTTGTCACCCCAGCTGGCTGCTGGCATGGTGACACTAAACTTGGGTTTTCCCTGGGGAGCAGAGCATTTAATGAAAGAGTTCAGCCAGTGGGAGTCTCCCAAGCCAGCCAGGGCAGCCGTGGGGCAGGCAGCTGGAGGGCCGGGAGGGAGCTTGGCTGGGACCTCCGCCTTCCGAGGGCTGCTGTTTCCATGATGTCAGAGAGGCGGAACTCTGCCTCACAGCGCAGGAGACCACAGCCCTCGCCCCAGTGCTTTCCAGCCCTGGACTCGGCCCCGAACAAAGGTGAGAGCGCTCGTCTTACTCACCGGGCAGAAACCGAGGACCGCCTTCGCGCTTCCTGGGGGCCTCGGGGCTTGTCACCACCTGGCCAGAGTTGAATTCCTGGCCCCAAGCCTGCCTGTCCTTTTTCTTAACTGGACTCTGCTCTCCAGGGGAGCCTCATAGGACGGGGATGAGAAAAGCCTCCAACTCAAGGAAGGTCCTCTGTGGACCCTTGAAGGCTCCCGCTCTGACTGTGCGTCAGTGCTTAGGGAGTACGTTTGGCAGCTGTGATCTGAGAGAAACCTCTTCCTTCTTTTTTGAAGTTGTTGGGAATAGTGTGAAGGTTTCTCGGCTAGTGTCCGGGAGGCCTGGTTCTTTGTAGGCACAGCCCGTGACTCTGGGCAGGACGATTCCTTTCTTGGGAGTCCGTTCCTTACGGGGAGGGAGTGGTCCACAGCGGCTGTTTTTCGGGGCTTACAGGTCCTGATGCGTCTGTTTCTTTGATCGTCTGGCGTCTTCCGCCATCAGCGTGTCAATAACATGTACGTGTCTCCTTCTCTCTCCCAACCAGAAAAAGATTTACAAATACAAGAAAGTCCTGAGTAACCCAAGCCGTTGGGAAGTCGTGTTGAAGGAGATCCGAACTCTGGTGGACATGGCCCTCACGTCCCCCCTGCAGGATGACTCCATCAACCAAGCCCCGCTGGAAATCGTCTCGAAACTGCTCTCAGAGGTAGGATGTCCCTCCTGCTGGGCTTTGCGCGTGCGCACGTGCACACACACACACACACACACACACACCCAAGCTCTTTTCCTTTCCCTCTGCTGAGCACAATGCCGTGCCCGGCGGCAGAACTGGACCCACGTTGGCGCTGTCTCCCCATTGCCCAAGGAGCTGAGAGGCGTCCCCCAGCAGCCTGAGAGAGCCCAGGAGGAGGCTTGTCCCCAGTGCTGCAGCGGAGCCGCCCCGGGGGCGAGGCGGGGCTGAAGGGGCTGTTGGCTGCTGCCCTGCCCCACCACCCAGTGTGGGGGCTGGTCATGGGCCTGAGGCTGGGCTTGTGGCGATGGTGGTAGCAGCGAATTTCAGAACCTCCGGCTCGTCCCCGAGCTGGAGAACGGCGGTGACAACCCCAGAGCTCCAGGCTGGGCTTCCTCCCTGCCCTCGGCATGGGGGCCCGCCGTCCCTGCCCGTCTCTGTCCTCCCCGCCGCCCTGGCCTGCATGGGCTCCGGGGGCCCAGGCAGCGACGGCTTCTGCCCCCGGCACCCCGACCACCGCACAGCAGCGGAGAATCCATCGGCGGCTCGCAGCTGACTGGGCTGTGCTTTGCCGAGCAGCCCCACACGAGGGCCTGTGCCGTGCTGGACACTGTGCTGGGCTTGGGGATGAAGACAAGCCCATGTTCCCTCAGGGAGACAGACAGGAGCAAGGGGGCTCGATCGATGTCAGTCCCGCTGTTTGTGAGGAGGTGACAGCTGCTGGGAAGCACGCTGTTGACTCTGTCCCAGCCATCTTCTCCGCGCTTCCCAAATGCTAAGGCTTGCCTTGTTTGTTTGCCTGCCTGGCCCCCGGAGACACTGGCGTTGATGACTTCTGATTTAAACTCTGCATGGCCAACGGAGTGATGCTTCTGTCCCCCTCCCCTGGGACGGGCCCCTGCTCTCCTGGCACGCCCAGTTCCTTGGGTAGCTAGCTGCTAGATGCCCCCTCTGAGACTGCACCAGCTCCTTGCCACCTAAAACCACCGCTTCCTCTGGGGGCCCAGGCTGATTGCGGCCGCTCAGTCCTAGAAACTGCCCAGGCCTTCCAAGTCTGTTGAATAGAGGGTCCCTTGCCCTGGAGGCAAGTGGGGCAAGAAGTAGGAGGTGGGCGGTAAAGATAGCTACAGGGAGCAGAGGCCACGCCCTCGGGTGTGAGACAGCTTCATTTCACCGCAGAGCGAAGACTCAGGCTTTGAAATCAATCACAGTCAAGGTCTGGAATTTGAGACCAGGCCAGATGCTGTATACCCAACATTCTATCCTGGCTTCCCAGCCCGAGGCCAGGCTGGAGGCTCACCATCAGTCAGCACCTGCTGTGTGCCAGCAGGTGTCATGGGCCATGCACACAATGTCTCAGGTAGTACACCTCCCTTAGAGAGCTAGGCCTGCTGTCTCCATTATACAGACGAGGAAACCGAGGCCCTGAGACATTGAGCAATATGCTGAGCAGGCGGTGGGGCTGGAAATTTCACCTTAGGGCTTCCTCCCTCTCACTGCAAGGCCAACCATCCACCCTTTCTGCCCAACAGTCCCCACCCCCACTGCCGCACCATCATTAGATCAGGCTCACTGTCAGGACGACGGGGAAGGTGGCAGGTGGACACAGTTGCCAACCACTGGCAAGCATTTATTTCCATCTTACATGTTTCATAGACCATGTGCCCCTGGGCCTTTGCATCGCTTCTCAGGCCAAAGTTTTAAAAATCATTGGATCCCCAAGCACTAGTGAAAGATAAAGGCATTTAAAGGGAAAAGAAAAAAAGAAGCAGGCTGCATCTGCTGTGCACCTACTGTGTGTCAGGCAATGAGTCAGTGTCACTCACTGTGACACACAAGCGCTGCCATTTGCTAAGGGACAGAGCTGGGACTGCAGTCCAGGCAGCAACCCCTTGAGGAAGGTTTAGCGCCTCTCTGAGTGACACACATGCTCTGTGACCACTGCTTTGGCATTTAGAGCTGATCTCCAGGTACCCTGCGAGGTGAGTCCGAAAATGTACAGACGGGTAAACAGAGGCTTGGAGAAGCTGTCACTTGCCCAGGGGTCTGTTGCATCAGTGGTGGGCCGGGATCCACGCCCAGGTCTGCCTTTTAGGAAAGCTCACGCTGTTTTGCACAGATGTGGCATAAATTGGTAGAGACTTCCTAACCCGGGGTTTGCGGGGGGTGCCCAGCTGTGTGGGACTTGGTGGTTGAGAAAAGGAGTTGTAGAAGCACAAGGACCTGGTTCTTCAGATACTAACTGGCCTTGGACAGTTTACTAGGTCTCTCAGTACTGTTCTCATCTGCGAGTTGCAGTGAAGACGAGCACCCATTTCATAGTGCTCTAATACAGACAAAGCGCCTGGCCCTGTGCCTGATACACAGGGAGCACTTGATAAATGATCACATTCTTGTTGTCATGGGAGATGGCTGTGATCTTGACCTTAAGCACTCTCAGCTGCAGGGTCTAGGGTGATGGGTGGAAAAACAAATCCCTCTCCTTGCCCTTTCCTGTTTAGGCTGTAGGGGCTAGATGATTTGTCTGTTCTCTTTACTCATGTTGTTCCTGGGGTCTCCTTCGAGGAGGCTCCAGGGGTCCCCAAACCATCTGGAAAGTGGGCAGGATCCGGAGGAAGGGAGCGAGGGAGGGGGAGGAGGGGACTCTTGGTTCTGAGAAAGGACTGTCCATCCACTGGCCAAACACAGCTGCCTCCCTGACCTCCCGGGCCTTTGTGGAGTGGCCGCTCAGTTTAGGGTTCCCATGTCCTCTGTGATGCCCTGGCTGTTAGTGAGCTCTCCCCACCAGGGCGGAAAATGGCCTTGGTGGAGAGAAGTGTCCCTGCAGAGTGGCACAGGCTGCCGCCCACGATGGGGACAAAGGACTTGGCATCTGTGCTTGCCACAGGCTCTTCGTGGGAAGGGCACAGGTGCGGTGAGGACCCGGCCGGGTCCTGCAGAGCTACCTGCCACAGCCTGAGAAATGGAAGTGCCCCTTGCTTGGGCCGAGCACCAGGGCTCAGTGGTTGGAGATTCAGGTTTTGGCATCAGGACGGAGGGGGTCAAACCCCCACTCCACCCACTCTTCCCTGTGCGCCGGGCACGCAGCTGGACCTCGTGAGGCTCAGGTAGCTCACCTGGCGATGGGAGGGTAGGAGAAGCACTTCGGGGAAGAAGCCGGTGCTCCCAGCCTGAGGCTTAGCGAGCTTGTCGTCGCTTGTAAGGCAAGACCAAAGCTTTCCATCAGGAAAATCCACTGACATTTAATAATCAGCCACAAACGGGCTCCTTAAGCACTACCAACGTCCACAAAAAGAAGAAGCCTTGGGAGTCTAAGAAACATCCTTTCCCCTTCCACGTGCTCATGAATTCTAAGTGCACGTGGGCTTAGAGGGCCAGGCTGTCTCCATGGGAAGCTGGGGACAGGAGGAGCACAGACACTGGCCCGGGTTCCGTGGCCGTCCTCCCCCATCGGGCAGCCAGACAGAGCCGTGTTCATAGCCCCCCGGCCCCGCTCCTGCTTCAGCGGGTTGTAAACTCGTTAGATATCCTGATGCTCCTTAAGCCCGATGGCAGGTAGCAAACAGGGTGGGGCTCTTCCTGGAACCCAAGAACTGACCATCTGGCCAGGTGACTGTCCAGTGAGGCGGCACGTGACGAGGGGACAGACGTGACTCTGTCAGGAGATCTGAATGGAGACCAGTGAGAGCCCGTGCCCACCGAGACACACAGACAAAGCAGAGCACAGCACGAAGCTAGCAGAGAAGACGATAGTGACCGTTTCTGGGTTTTCCCATGATTTCTCATTTCTCATGTGTTCAGGCCTCTCCTCAGCCGTGTATTCACAGGAGAGTGGTAACAGGTACCCACTGGGGGAGGAAATTCCAGATTGAGGAAGAAAAAAAGCCCGAAAAATGAAACAAATTTAATCCATTCAACTTACTATTATTTCTACAAGCTAATTGCTAGAATTTGAATTTAGCTAAAACGTGTTTGGCTCACAGAACACCATTCTTCCGTGGAACCCAGTTGGAGAGTCACTGGAGTACTCTATGTGCTGTGCCTGAAAGACAGCCTGGCACGCAGTCAAGATTCTAAAGTCTGTATCTTTCCGTGTTTTCCGTGAACCCTATGACCGGCAGGGAGCATGGGGTTAAGCCCTATATGAATGGAGGAGCCCCATTTGTGGAAGGAAAAACTGAGTCTCACCAACAAGGAGGGACTGGTCCAAGGTCACATAACTCCCAAGGGGTGAAACTGAGACTCGAATCCCAGTGTCGTCGTCACCGCCCCCCCCGCAAAGTCATACTTTTCTCCCTTCCTGGCTGAGCCTTGGAGGGTTTTCTGATCTGCTTGATTAAGAAAAAGCAACACCTGCACTCCGAGAAGCTGAAAGAAAGCATTTTAAACTCTTTGGACCTTTGAGATGCAAACATCCGTTTGATTAATATTGTGGTTTTGTTTTGTTTTGTCTTGTCTTCCTTGGTACTCTCCACTCAATCTCTTAGAACACAAACTTGACTACCCAGGAGCATGAGAACATCATTGTGGTAAGTCTCTTGAGATTCCTCACCCCTCTGTCCCCCTCCCGATGCCACAGTCCCTGCCCTGGTCTGAGTGACTTCTCGAAGCGCTGGTGTATCCACCAGCGTGGCGACCGTGCTCGGTCTTGTCTTTCCCGTCAAGCTGGACTGTCTGCCTTCTGCCTTTGCACATTTCAGGGCCCCAGTTGACGGGGGAGGGAGAGAGAAAATTATCTGTCTTTGAGGTTTGTAGTGAATGCATCTTCATTGCGTCCTCCTTCCTGAGTGCTCTGGGGGGAGTTGAAGGCAGGAGATGGCAGAGAGCATATGATTTATTTATTTGGAGGCATAACCCTATTAGCTGAGAGGTAAGCATTTTCTTTCTTGCCCCAGGACATGCCTCCTGATTAATCCACGTATAGAACCTGGATTTAATTCTCTCTGATACACAAAAAGTCCTGTTTTCTGGGACTTGACTATGATGAAAGCATCTTGGGAGTCAGATAGCTTCCTGGGGGATTTAAGCTCTGAAATGTAAATCTCATGGGAGAGAAAGGAGGTTACACCTACTGGGTGCCAAGCACTGTGCATGTATTTGAATCCGTAGGTAATGAAGACAGGCCCTGCTCCCACGGAGTTTATCTTCTATTGTAGGAAGACAGATGATATCACTGTAAAAACAGAGGCATGTAGTATAGAGAGGAGAGTGATCAGCTCGCCTGGGAAAGAAGGCATGGTGATTCCTGGAGGCAGTGATGTCTGAACTGGGTTTTGAAGGATCAATAGGAGTTTGCCAGATGGCAAAACAGAGTAAAGACATTCCAGAGAGAGGAAACAAAATAGGCCTAGAGATGTAGAACAACGTGGGATATCCTGGAAGCTTCAGCATCGCTAGAGTATAAAGTTCAAGGATGTGGGAAGTAGGGAGGCAGAACGGAAGATGGAAGTGAGAAGCAAAGCCTTATGTGCCCAGAAAGGACATTCACCTGCCCCAGAGGTCCTACGGCTACAACCTTTGAAACAAGGGCAAGATGCCAGACTCTGTTCCCCTCTGAGCTGAATGAAGGTTTCTTGGGTCCACCCACTTGGCCCTGGCAAGCCCAGCCTGGGGAATCACCCTTCTCACCCCAGCTGGGTCTGGTGGGTACAAAAGGAGGTGTTGTCATGGGGAGTAAAGGCAGCAGCTTCCATGGAGCCCCACTTCCAGTGTCTGGCACGTACTAGATGCTCCCTGGGAATTTGCTAAAAACACAGAAGGTTTTTACCCCCTTGCTGCACCCTGACCATGCCATGCCCTCTGTTGCCAGAATAGGGGGATTGTCAACCTGGGTGCCCCCACTCCCCACCACCACCTTTCCCTGGTATACTATTAGTTAATAAATTCATGTAACAAGTGCTTGTTGACTTGAGGACAGGTATGTGCCAAACACTAGTCTCTGTTGCACAGACCTAGAGCTGCTACTGAGAGGTTCACTGTGTGCTAGAAGAACGGGGCAGGTCGGCAGCTAATCAGGAAATAACACGGTCAGGGCTTGAGATTTGTTTGGAGTGTTAGGGGAGCACAGAGGGCAGACACCTAGCATCCTCCGCCAGTGAGGGTGCTGGGAGGAGGATGACAGAGGGCTTCCAGGTGGAGGTGAGCAAACTGGATCTTAAAGGAGGGGTGGGAGTGCTCTAGGGCAAGGCAGTCCAGGGAGAAGGCCCAGCACGGGGAAGGCAGAGCAGTGAGACTGGCTGGTGGAGAAGCAGCTGGGGACATGGGTGCCAGGAAGGAGTTAGCGTCTTCCTCTCCCTTCTGGCGCTACCTGTGGGTCCCCCAACCCCATACTCTTCAGCCCTGGAAGAAGGGTAAGGGCTTTGGACCGGGGATGAGCCTGGGAAAGGAATTTTGGTCTGAGCAGTCCAGGCTGCTTTCTTCCAGTGAATTCTGTGGGGCTGACCCCTTCACTGGGGTGGACTGAGCTTGCGCACTCAGCAGACATGACAGAACAGAGAATTTGATCTGAGGTCTGCCTCTCAGCCCTGCTCTGTACAACCTCCTCCCCTTTGGTGCTCTGTGTTACCAGTGCCCTTATTGTCACTGGGAAGCCTTCTCTCTGCCCAGAGATGACCTTATCCAATTTGACTTCTCAGCAATTAGTCTTCTCCCAGCGGGGCTTTGTATGTTTTTAACGTGCTTATTTTTCAGAAATACTTTCACAAGTAACTTGAGTTGGTTGGATTCAGTCCGTCTGGGGTCGGGCATCTGTCTGTCCCATAGGTGGTTATTGGCTGGTAACAGCCAGCATGTCCCTGGAACCTAGTGCCCAGACCGCAGCCACCATCTACATGCTGGGGAAGAGGGTGGCCTTCACCCTGAAGCTCAATGTGAGCTCAAGTTTGGAGCCGGTGCAGACCCGGGGCCCACCCCACACGAGCTGGGTCCTTGGGCAACTGATGGGAGAGCTTTATTGTATTGAAAATACCTTTAAGATGTTCCTTAAAAATGCTTTTGCGAGTATTCTATGAAAATAATTTCATTAGAATAAAGAAAAAAAGGGAAAGGATTTCACCCCATCCCAGTGTCCTCTTCAGAGAATTGCCCTGGCGGTTTTCAGGTGGTGACAACCCCACATGGGTACGGTTGTGTTTCTATTTTCTGTTTTCAACATTAATGATGCAAGCCTAGATGGGCTGTTGTATGTTGATTTTTTTCGTGTACCGCGTCTTGGGGGGATGCTTTCAAGTCTCTCCGTGCCTCTCTGCCCCTCGGTTTCCAGCCTCACTACGTGGGCATTTGGGGATGAATCATTCCTTCTGGGGGGCCTGTCCTGGCCATTGTAAAACGTTGAGCACCATCTCTGCCCCAACCCGCTGGGTGCCAGTAGCCCTTCCCCATCGTGGTGATCAAAAATATGTCTCCAGGGGAGGATGGAAAAAAAATATGTCTCCAGACGTGCCAACAGCCCCTGGAAGCAAGGTCAACCCTGGCTGGGGACTGTTGACCCACCACATACTTTCTACTGGCTCTAGAATATTTTTATCTAACCAGATGGCCATTCAGCTAACTTCTGGTTAACTGTTAGTTAACTTTTTAGTCATTTTCAGCTAACTTGGCATACGAAGACTCAGTCTCCTCATCTATGAAATGTGTGTGACAACAGTGCCTTTCTTACAGGGCTCTTGGGAGGGCTCAGTGAGCCAGCATGCCAAACATGCTCCACGGGGACCGGGCTTATAGAAAGAGCCCACAGAAATATAAGCTCCTTTTATTAGTCATACCTTTAAAATGATCATAACTGTCTGACCAGGGCAGGCCTTGTAACCTCCCTGACCCTCTGTCTCTTCCTCTGTACAAATGGGAGTAACTCCCACTTGACCTCACTGAGTTGTCATGAGGCCCCAGTGAGCTAATCCTGTGGAAGCACCGAGCCCCCGCCCGACGCCCACTCTGGGCACTTCAGTCCTTCCCACTCCTTAATTCTGTGACTCATTCTAGAGGAAGAGGGGCCCGGCACGAGTGGGGGGCTCAGCCCTGCACATGGCCCCTCCTCGGAGCTGGGTGTGGGAGGTGTTCTCTATCTGCTTCACCTGGCACAGTGGCCGCTGGCTTCGTGGGACCCCTGAGCACTGGCAATGTGGTTTGTGCAGTGGAGGAACCACATTTTTTATTTTATTTCACTTATTTCCTGTCCGTTAAAATCGGAAGGGTTGCCTGCACCAGCGGCTACCGTGCTGGGTGCTGCCACCCTGGACAGGTAAGACCCTGGACTGTTGGGCACCCAGCTTGGAGGGGCTCCAGACCACAGCCTCAGTGTCACTGGCTTCCTCCTCCACAAAAGCACATTCGCATAAGTGACGTCGTGTCTTCTGGGCCCCCAGTGAGGCTTCCTTTCCCTGACGGTCCCAAGCCCAGCGGAGGGCCTTGCTGAGCGGTCCCTAGCCATATCCAAGGCATCGCTGCAGGGAACAGCTCACAGAGACCCTCTGAAATTGAGCAGGCAGGCTCCGAGCCCTGGGAGTCAGTGATGGGGAGAACATGTCCTCACAGAGCCCTCCCGGGAGTCGGGCCGCATCACCACCCCTTGCTGCTGTGCCCAGTACTGCCCAAGACAGTCCCTACCCGCCGTGATGGTGACAGTGGGCTTATCTTGAGGCGGAGACTCCAAAGCTTCTACAGTTTTCTCTTTTCAGATCCTCCCAAAGACAGTCACTCCAGTTCTCCCCATTTTGTAAGCTAGAAGACTAATGTCCAGAGAGGTTGAGTTGCTCACACAAGGTAACACAGCCCGGTGGTCTTGGTGCTGGATTCTGGGTCTCCTCTTGGTTAATCTTGTGCGCATTGTGGCAAACAGGGAAATGAGTGGACTTCGCGTAGGTACTAGCCATCCAGTAACTAACATTCACGGAGAGCTGACCCTATTTCAGACTTCGTACCAGGGGTCCTCGGGTGGGTGCAGTTTCGTCTCCTGTGAGGCATTTGGCAATGTCTGGACACATTTCAGTTGTTTACCTATTTTATTTGAATTTGAAGTTTAGCAAAATCATTCAAACAAAGTATGAAAGAGGAAGAAAAATAAGAATCAGACATCATTCGGATCCTGGTACGGGAATGGCAGGGGGACCGTAAGAACTGTACAGTGAGCCTCAGAAGGCTTGGAGAGACATGAACTCAAGGCACCTGCCTTAATGTTAAATAAGTGTTTCAGGAGGCTTCTTGGTCTCACACCCGGCTGAGGCTTGCTGCTGGCATCCATTGGGTTGAGAACAAGGTCACTGCTAAACATCCCGCATGGGACAGGAGAAACAAGCCCCAGATGGTAACAGGGCAAGGCCAGGCACCCTCCCTCCCGCTCCTCTGCAGACTCTTCTCTGCTCCGCTTTCTGGGTGGGAACTCGGGTGTTAAGAGAGGAAATAACTCGTTCTAACAGTTAGGCTGTCGTGAGTGCCAGGGCTAGAACTCGCACCCAGGACTCTGCCCCCAGGGCCTGGGCTTAGAACCTGGATCCTCTCCTTCCCTGTTGTTCCAAGGGGGACGTGGCTGGACGGCAGCAGGTTGTAGAGTCCCTGAGGTCGCATGCACTCACATTGGTGTGCGTTTTCCTGGAGGTTAGCGTGGAGCTTGTACCAGCCATGAGCCCCCAGCTAGGACTCCTTGCTGGAGGTTCCAGCTCACCTTTGCTCGTTGTCTTTCAGGCGATTGCTCCTTTGCTGGAAAACAACCATCCACCACCAGATCTCTGTGAATTCTTCTGCAAGGTATAACCTGACCGAAATGGGGCTGTGTTTGCAGGAGGCAGCCCACTTCCGTGTGGGCATGCTGGGGGTTGGCTTTGCATAATTTGCTGAAAACCCAGGCTTCCCTGACCTGGGTCAGGGCCCCAGACCAAGCCAGAAGGCAGGTCAGGCAGCCTGCTCTTAGACACACAGCTCTCTCTCTGCCAGGCAGGTGATAAGCGAGGCCCAGGATCCAAACCAGTGGGTCAGGGAGGAGCGTCCGGCTTTTCCCTGGAATATCTTTGTAGCTGTCTTGGGAGAAATTTGTAGCAGATTTTCTGGGTTCCTGACGTCAGAGCTGGGTTATTATTAGCCAAGGCTCGTCTGAGCACCGGCTGGCCCACAGTGGGGCATAGCCGTGGGGCTTTTCCTGAATAGGGAAAGCAGGCCAGGGATGCCAGGTTCGCTGGGAGGAGCCGCAGAGCAGGCCGTCCGCTCCCGGGAACCCAGAGCCAGGCTCGCAGTGGGATTTACACGGACCGTGCCCAGGGCACGTTGGGGACCAGCCCTCCCTCGCTCTGAAAACACACTTCAGCAGCCCGGGGGCTGAACCAGCATGCAGTCCTGTTTTGTTCTTTGCTGTGTGATTTTTTTTCTTTTTTTCTTTTTTTTTCTTTTTTTATGTAATGATTTGATGTCCTTGGAGAGACGCAGGGCCTAGGTTTGCTGCTACCCCAGCACTCTCTGCTCTCGCACCTGCTGACTCTCTCCGACTCATGCTCCTTTCCTCGCCGGCTCCTTCCACAGCCACACGCTGTCCCTGGTGGGCGGTGTGGACTCCATCTACCAGCAAGACGAGCATGTGGCCTGGCGAAGCAGGCCCCTGGAGAGCCCTGTGGCTTCTGGAGGAAAGGGGACTGTGATGCCCTTAGTGCCTCTCTCTGTGTCTGTCAGGGGGCGGGAGCTCTGAGACTACAGACACAGGGTCAGTTAGCCCCTTTGGCCTGGTCTCTCCATCAGGAGACCATTTCTGGCAACCCACAGAGCAGAGGGCGGGCCCGGCCTGCCAGCCTAGAGCGCCCGGGTGCCTTCTCGGTGTGCGCGTCTGGGCACGTGGCGGTGTGTGCCTTCTGGGCCAAGCAGGCAAGCACCTGGGCGTCGAGCTGGGCCTGCAGCTGTGCGTGTGAAAGCGTCAGGCTTCTATGCTCAGTGGAGGCCCCCTCCTCCCTGGGGCCTCGGTGGGACTATAGACTACTGAAATATGGGCCTTCTTGGCCCCTGGCACCAGGGGGCGTCATTCCCCACACGGAGTGGGGTCATACGTCCCCACATATGCTTGGGGTCCTCCTTCCTTCCTCCTTCCTGTCCCAGCAGGTCATCTCCTCTCTCAATATTTTGTCCGATTTAATCCACATCTGCTCCTTGTTCTCCTCTCAAGCTGTATGGTTTCTCCCAGATTTCATGGTTTTCAAACTCTTGTTCTATTTTCTTTTTTTTTTTTTTTAAGATTTTTATTTATTTATTTGACAGACAGAGATCACAAGTAGGCAGAGAGGCAGGCAGAGAGAGAGAGGAGGAAGCAGGCTCCCTGCCGAGCAGAGAGCCCGATGCGGGGCTCCATCCCAGGACTCTGGGATCATGACCCGAGCCGAAGGCAGAGGCTTTAACCCACTGAGCCACCCAGGCGCCCCCAAACTCTTGTTCTAAAACAGTGGACCTTTGTTCAAAGTCAGTCATACCTGGAGGTTCCTGGTAGCACGGTTTAAAAACTCATGATGTAGAAGAAACCTTTCTTTTTGGCATTTCCTTATAGAAATAGAAGGCTGCCCCGTCCTTTGGAGGGAGGGGTCCGAGCCTAGGGGGTCCGTGAGCCTTCACGCTGTTTCCCCTGTGGGAGGGTCCGAGTCCCAGCCTCCGTGCCCTACCCACAGGCAGCCTGTCCAGAGAGGAGAGCTTGAGGGGAATGAAGCCGCCCCCACTGGGTCCACCCTGGGCCAGCTCACTCCACACGCCTGGGCAGCCTTGCCTGCCCGTTCTCCAAACCACATCGAGGAAAGTTCATTGATCTTAGATTTCCCAGGAAAGCCCTGATTTCTACTCTCCCAAGTCCAGGGTCCTCACGCAGGGGTTAGAAACTCAGCGCCTTCAGGCCTGGGCAGGTTCTAAATGTGTTGGCCTGGTGCGGCCTTATCTGTTCCACCCGAAGGCCTTGACAAACAGAACGTGCTGATGAAGTGAAGTATGGTGAGTCGCGTTTGATGGCCTGAAGGCTGCTGTCAGCCTATCAAAGCGAAAGCTGGAAAGCCACAGGACTTTCGAGATTCTGGTGTCCAGACACGGAACTCCTGGCATTCCTGCACCCAGTTTCCCAGAGACTCCTCTGTTAGACCGCGTGCTTTGCATCTCAGTGCTGCAAAGTGTCAGGACCTGTCCAAGTGTGCGCCTGCCCGTATCAGCTGATGAACTCTCACTTTATTAATTTTTTTTTACAGATTTGATTTAATCTTTAGAGATTAAATTAGAGAGAGAGGATGTACTGGGAGAGAGGCGAGGGAGAGACAGAGTCCCTGCTGAGCAGGGAGCCTGATGTGGGACCTGGGACCCTGACCTGAGCCGAGGGCAGATGTTTCACCAACGGAGCCCCCCAGGCGCCCCACGGTCTCAGAGCCACAGGCGAGGCCCGGACTTCAGGGGCCCGTTCAGCTCCGGCTGAAACCTGCCAGGCTCAGTGCTGACCACGCCCTTCTGTCTCCCCAGCACTGCAGAGAGCGGCCCCGGTCCATGGTGGTCATCGAAGTGTTCACTCCCGTGGTCCAGAGAATCCTCAAGCATAACATGGTGAGTTCCCCTGACGCCCAGGCCTCAAAGCCGGCCTCTCACTTCTCCCCAGCCTTTCGCCATTCCCCAAAACGTGGAGGACGGGGTTGGCTGGCCTGGCCTGACAGCCAGGAACGGGGTTGGGATTCTGTTGAAGCTGGGGTGTTCGTGCAGCCTGTCCTCCTCGGCTCTATTTTCTTCTCTTAAGGCAATGGGAAGAATCTTTTTCACAGTAAAAATAACAAAAATAGTGTGGCCAGGGGAGAAGAGAGAAGTTCCCCGTGTGTAGAGTCACAAGCGTCTGCAGACACTCTGCCCAGAAGGAGGGGGTGGGGCGCCTCACGGCTTCAGTGGGGGCCGTCCGGACGGTGTCCTTCCAGAGGCACGGGACAGAGGGGGCAGAGAGTGACCATATGATGGAGAAACCTGACAGTGACAGCCATAGTTAGCGGGTCACGGTTTCACGGTCACCAGCCATGGTGACAAGTCACGTGAGGGCAGGCACCCTGATATAGTGTCAGAAGGGCACCGTACCTCTGGGCACTTCTTCTCTCAAACCCATGGGCCCTGTCTAATCCTGAGAGAAACATCAGACCAGTCCCCATTCAGGAGCATTTTGTAAAACACGTGACCAGCACTGCTCAAAATTGTCCAGGATGTTAAGAACAAGAAAAGCCTAAAAATTGTCACAGCCCAGAGGAGCCTAAGGCCGCAAGATGACTACATGTAGCAGGGTGTCCCGGATGGGGTCCTGGAACCACAAAAAGTCATCAGGGGAAACAGAAGCAATCTGAGTATGGGCTTGGCGGTCTGCAGGGCCCCTTTGCATTCCCATCAGTTCAGCGAAAGCAGCAAATACTGCTTTCTTCCTGTTACACATGGGGAAACTGAGGCTCATCAGAGCACACTCACTGACCCCAGGGGCCACAGCTGGGAATGAGAGTGACTAACATCTACTCTTAGCTACTTTTCGAGCACCTTGCAAGCGTGTCCCATGTCATTTAAGTCTCATGAAAACCCAGGACCTCCTTTCCCAGATGAGGTGGCGGGGACCCAGAAAGCCTCCGTAGATCACTCAGGGAACCGGTGAGCAGTTCCGAGTGCTCATGACGGGGGCCAAGGAGCAGCCATCGAAAGTGAGGACCAGTGTTCCAGTGCGCTCTCCCGAGCCAGCCCCCAGCCTGGACTCAAGGCACCTGGTGATGGGGAGCCAGTGATGTCATTGCAGCGCACGTTGGGGCGCTGAATCAGAGGTGGGGTACCTGTGACTACTGCCCCCTGCCCTGTCAAGATTCAGCAGTGAAAACAGCTGTCTCCACACCAACCCCCAATCCCCGTCTGGTTGGAAGCGTGTGGCACGTGTGCTGCTCCACCCCATCCCACACTCATGGCAGACATCATGAGTCGATTGCAGCACTGTTCCGGCAGAGCCCGGAGATAGCTTCAGAGTCCGTCTCAACCCAGGATTCCCGGCGGCCGCTGGTAACTGACGGTGCTGGCACCATGCGGATCCTCTCTACCGTTCCCTCCCCGGAGCAGTGTCACCCCATAGCTGAGTTGCTGCTTATTTCCGACATTCCCCCTTGATTTGAGATAAATGTGTTTCTGATTTCCTGAATGCAGGGAGAGGATTACTCCATCCAGTTCTTTCCTGGGACGAACAAAGACGTTCCCCGCGGTAGTGGTGGAGAGTGTGAATTTGTGCCCTAATTTGGGCTTTTATAGTTTCAGGGGCATTCTCCGGTTTCAGGCTTCTGAGAGGAGAAGACTTCCAATTGTTAACTTTAAAATCACAGTGGAGGTGGTAGGAGATGAAGCTTGTACCCTTTCAGAGTGTGGAGCAGAGATTTTAGAGTTCGTTTTGCAAAGGACCTTCCTGTCACAGCTTATCGATGACAGAGCCCCAGCCCCAGGTGTCCTGTCCTGGCCCAGGCCTCCTCGGGCACGGAAGAACATTTTCACGTAGTCTGTGGTCATCAGGAGGCTGTCTAAGAACGCTTCTTTGGGGGACATCTGACTTCCGAAGGGAAAAATGTTAAAATTCAGGCCCGCCTCCCACAGCCAGTCCCAAACAACATCTCCCTTATATTTGGTGAGTTTTATGGGCCTACAGTGTTGACCATGTAATAATTTTCTGGATAAAATTCAGAACAGTGACAGGGCAAATCCACAGTTTATAGCATCTGTTATGGCCTGGCAGAGATCAGAGCCCTCCAGGCATGAATCCTCACTTGACGCTTGAAGAGCCCCCAAGTGATCCCGGCGCTTGGGGCCGCCGTAAAGCTTCACGGCTGCTCTCTGCCGTCAGCGCCCAATGACCTGCCGCGAACTCTGTCAGAAGAGGGCCGTGGATGGCAGGTGCATGTGAGGCAGTGACCGTGGCTTCCGCTAGGCCCGGGAAGCCAGACGTACTGTTTTGAGCTGGAGCTTTTGGCCGGTGTGGGGAGTCTAGTCACTGGTTAGTGGGTGTGCCTAGCCTGCCACCAGCCTCACAACTGTCCTCATCGCACGAGCAGTGGCTTCTGTTGACCACGCGCGCAGCGTTTCTCACCAAGGACGCACTGGAGCATTTGGGAGCTGGAGGAAATCGTAGACCGCAGAGGTGTTCTAAAATGTCAGAGCTTCCCCTGTCCTCAGGGTTCATCTTTTGCAAATAGATTGTGTGTCCCATTTCCTAGATGAGTACATTGAATCTTAGAGAAGAGTCTCAGTGTTACTCGTTGGACTGAAATAAAAATTAGATACAAATGGAAGCAGTCCTCTAGAATGTTCTGCTGGAGATTCTAAACAATTTGTTAAACTGTATTGTCAAGAATGACCACGGTCCCTGTGCCCACAGGCCACCCATCAGAGTGTTCTTATAGCAAGGGAGGCAAGAAGATGTGGCTGCGGTCCCTAGCGGACTACTGGGTGATCTGACCACCCTACTTGCCAAGAGGAGCGTTTTTAGCTTTTCCAAAGGTAAAATGTACCTCACCCACATGTTGGAAGGCCATGAGACCCATTTATGATGTTCATTTCCAAGAAAATGACCTTGACTCTCCAGAAATCTAACAGCAGAGATAAGGACAGTTATCTTTAGCAGAGTTGAGTTGAAGCAGTTTTCATGGACTTCTAAACCCTTAGACGTGGAAGGGGGCCATAGAGATCCGTGGTTACAGCCCTCACTCCACAATAGAGTCTATGAGGCCCCGAGAGGGCCACACAGCCTTCCTGTCACCGTTTTCCAGGGCACCAGGTGACTTGAGATGTCTCCCTCAGTTTGGAAGCACAGTCAAGTTTCAGTTTTCTCTTCACACAGAGGCCTTATCTAGCCCAGGGCTGTGTGTGTGTGCATGTGAGCATGTGTGAGTGTGTGTGTGTGTACACAGGTTCGTATCTTCCTTCTGAGCTTCCCCTGTGGCTTCTGCTGCCGTCCTCATGGACGAGCATCGTCCCGGTGGGGAGAATGGAAGCAGACGAGGCCCCTTCAGTATCTTGAGGACTCTAATTCAGCCTCTTCACGCCAGGTGAAGAAGCACCAAGCAGCTCTAGAAACTCGCTTCTCGGAGCTGGCAGGAGGGCGTGGGAGGGACGTGTTCTCCTCAGAACTTTCTCGAGGGCCCTCAGAATCAGTTAGATCCGGGAAGACAGTCTCTGCTGTTTTATTTTAAGTTAGAATGCCGATGCCGTTGCCCTTTACTGAGGGGTTCCACTTAGTGGGGGCAAGAAGAAGTCCGATGACTTTGGAGATGTGACTCTTCCCTCTGACGTCTTGCGGGCCACCCTCCTCAGCACGCTGACGCGCCCCTCCTGACCGTTAAAAACCCCGCCCACAGGACATGAACAGAACTGCCGACCTGGCAGCCCTTGCCCCCACCCGTGAATGTGGGGAAGGACGCAGGGTCCCTTCCTGGCCATCGTTTCTCCTCTCCTGACAAGTCCCTGAGCCCGCAGCCACCAAGGAGATGGGCCTCTCCACTCTCAGCTGTACGCTGCCTCCTGCCCCGGTCGTGCGCCGGGTTGGGGAAGCTAAGAAAACAGAAGTGTCCAGGAATGCCACTCACTGGAGCAGGCGGGAGTCCCTCTGCCCTTGCTCAGTGCCCCTTAAGTAGGCGTCAGCTGAGGTGAGATGCGGGGGCTCAGGCTGAGCCGGTGGATGGAGACGTCCTTGGCCCTGGGGGCTGGGGCCTTTCCCTGATGTTAAGCAGATTCACCCTCCCTCCCTCCTGCCTGTGCCCTTTTCACACGGATCCCCGGACACACACCAGCCACGCACTCTCCAGGGCACACACCGCCCTTCCCAGGCCATAAGCCTCACACACGCATACATGATGTGTCTCTCACACACACCTCCTCCCGCACCCCATGTGTCTCACACATACCCTCCCACACCCTCCCACACCCCACGTCTCTCACACACACACCTCCCACATGCCAGATCTCTTACACACACACCTCCTCCCACACTCTGTGTCTCTCACACATAACCTCCCACACCCCATACCTCTCACAGACACCTCCTCCCACACCCCATCTCACACACACACAACCTCCCACACCCCACATCTCTCTCTCACATATACATATCTCCTCCCACACCCCATGTCCCCCCCCCACACAAACACACAAGACACCTCCTCCCAGACTCTATGTCTCTCACACATAACTTCCCATACCCCATACCTCTCACACACCTCCTTCCACACCTCACATCTCACACACACACTACCTCCCACACCCCACTTCTCTCACACATGCACATCTCCTCACCCAGCCAACGTCTCTCATACACACCACCTCCCACACCCCACAATTCTCGTATATACACCCATCTCCTGTCAGACTCCGTGTCTCTCATACACATACACACACCTCCTCACACACCCTACATCTCTCACACACATATCTTTCTACACCCCATGTCTCCCTCACACGCATACCTCCTCCCACACCCCATGACTCTCACACATACACACATATCTTCTCCCACACCCCACGTCTCTCACACACACACTCTTATACATCTTCTTTTATACATCTCCTCCCACACCCCATCTCTCTCTCTCTCCGTCTCATCTCACACGCACACAAACACACCTCCTCCCACACCCCACTTCTCTCACACACACACACGCCATTACCTGTCCAGCCAGCCTTTTTCAAGCTTATCCATCTGTTTTCTCTGCTTTTTTGGTTCCATGTGCCATATGAGGGTAGCTTTTTCTACAACCAAAAGGATAAGGTCATCAAATGCTCCTTAAGTATTTTCTGGAACCAAGGGGTTGGCTGGGGTCTAGAGCATGAGGGAGCCAGCTGAAAAGCCCATGACTGGGAGCCATCTTCACCCTGGGGCCATGTCTGGTTCTTGGACCTCCTTCCTGCCCTCTTGCTCGGGAGAAGAAACAGGCATCTTTTCATTGACGATGGTTGGGGACACTTAGAGTTACACTTGTCCGGGGCTACGTTTGGCTCCTCCATACCCCCAAGAAGTCCCAAAGCCCTCTTCCAAAATTGATGGCCCCAGACAGGACATCTCCTGCCCCGGCTGTGCTGAGTGGCCTCAGGTGATAGCTCGCAGAAAGCAGGCGTCCAGAAACTCTGTGGGGCCTGTGGCATCTGTGGCTTCCCAGGGGTTGTGGGAGACCCAGCTCAACATGCGCAGGCCCCCTCCCCACTGAGCGGAAGGGACGCCCCAGCTGGTCTCTTTGCTGAGCACGCCTTGGCGCATCGGTGCCGTGCCAGTGAGTTCGCTACAAGTGCCGGAACCCATTCCGGGTCAGGACGCATTTGCTGCTCTCCCCCGGCAGCCATCAAAGGGTGTAAGCAAGAGCGTGACGAGGCCAGGTTCTCGAAGGGAAAATGTGTGCCTTCTAGAAAGTGGAGTTGGCTAGTTGTCTCCCCGTTGCCTTCCACACCAGCAGTTGTGAGCAGAGCAGGGTCGCACTGCCCCTTCTGGGATCCCGGCCTCCCCTGCGGCCTGTCCCAGCTTCTCCCGTCTGCTCTCTCTGTAGGACTTTGGGAAGTGCCCACGACTGAGGCTGTTTACTCAGGAGTATATCCTCGCCTTGAACGAGCTCAACGCGGGGATGGAAGTGGTGAAGAAGTTCATTCAGAGGTGGGTTTCCCAGCTGGACCCCCTCCCCACCTTGCCTGCCAGCCAGCTCTCCTCTCCAGCCCAGAAATACTTGCTCCCTTGATGCCCGGAGAGAGTCCACTTGTATTCAGAGGCCCCGAGCATCATCTTCTGGGGAGCTGTCACCTGGGTCCTCCCAACCACATGTGGTCTGAGACACTTACTAGCTGTGTGATGTTGAACTGGTTGCTGTACCTCTCTGGCCCTATTTACTCCCCTATCTGCAGGGGTTGTTGTGTAATTAAACAAGAAGATACATAAGGAAGCTCCTAGCACAGTACCTGACACACGGTAGGAACTCAGGAAATGGTACCAGTTCTAAATAATAGGATTATTTCCACGGGTCCCACACCTTACACCCCTTTGGTTTATGAGTGCTGAGCACGTCAGGAGACAATCCCTCGCTGGCCCCGGAGAGGCATCACTAGGGACTAGAACAGCCACCTCCCAAACTGGGGAAGAAGAAAGCAGATCTTCTGGTTCTTACTTACTTCTGGGGTTTTGGAAGAGAGGGCTTATTTTTTCTTTGATTTTTAAAGCCTCTCCCTGTGCCGCTGTCTCCTTATCTGGAAAATGAGAACCATCGTACTCACTTCATCTGGTTAGTGTGCCGGTTTAGTGAGCTAATGCCCGTCAACGCTAGCTACTGTGTCCGTGGGCTGCACACGTCAGCAACCTCTCGTTTTTGAAGAAAATCAAAATAGCCTGTTTAAGCTGGTTTTGGAGCTTATGTGTTTCCCGAATAAACTCACCCGAAACTCACAAAGCATTTCTACATCCAAAGCAAGCATTTCTCCGCAGGAGCCCTGGTGACTTCAGGGTCCCTTTAAAGTACCCAGCTGCAGTTTGTCGAATTTTTTCAGGTTAGGCTTCTCTCGTCCTCAGCGGCCACAGTGACTTTCCAGAACTTACAGATATCATTCCCAGGCTCCAAACAGCCTGGGAGTCACAGTATTGGTCCCATTTTACAGAGGAGAAAACTGAGGCACAGAGCTAGCCATAATAAACAGTAGTAGCCAGCATGAAGGGAGGACTTGGCGAATGTGTCCCAGGCCCTGTGCTGGGCCAGGGCGACCATAATCACTTTTCTTTCAAAGCAGGCCTCTTGTGAGACTAAAATGTGGTATTAGGAATCATGATTCCAGATCCCACAGGCATAAATACAACTGTCCCAGGATATAGGACTGCCATACGCTCTTTCCATGAATTAGAAACTGGGTCCTTACCATAACCCATTGAGGGAGGGAGCCACGTTCCCATTTGATAGCTAAGCAAATTGAGCATGGCAAGTTTAAGTAGTTTACCAAGACCCGCTTGTGTGGATTTGAACCTGGCACCCTGGATCTACAGCCCCTGGCCTGGAGCTTGGCTCTGTGCCGCCTGCACGTGGCAGAGCCAGGACCTAGATCCCAGTGTTGCCAAATGCCCAGCAAAGAACTCAGCGCACCCTCCACCCCCGACCCTGACGGGCGCCCCCCCCACCCTGCTGCCTCCCAGCGTGAGTGCCACTGCTGCCACGGCCTGCTCACCCCTGTCCTCTGCTCTCTTCCAGCATGCACGGCCCCACGGGGCACTGCCCCCACCCCCGGGTCCTGCCCAACCTGGTGGCTGTGTGCCTGGCTGCCATCTACTCCTGCTACGAAGAGTTCATCAACAGGTCAGTCCCCGCTGCCCCCAGGAGAGCCTGTGTGGGAGCCTGCCACCACCTCTGGATGGGGACAGTGGGGGACAGTGAAGGGCCGGGTCCCCGTGGAGGGCGGCTCGTGCCTTGACCAGGCCAGGGAGGTGGAGTGGCGTCTGCTGGGACGGCCTCAAGTATGTTGGCCAATCCCATGAGCTCCCCAATTGCCAGCCCTAAACCTGGGGATGTCATTGGAAAAGCAAACGCTGGGGATCTGCATGGGCAGCCGTGAGGCTGTCGTGTCCCCTCGGCTTTAGCAGCAAGTGATTGATTCTGAAGGTTTCTCCCCACCTGGCATGTGCGACACGTGGGGCTTATGTGAGAGAGAGATGCGTGCATGCTGGTGCAGGTGTGCGTGGGGGGTGTGAACGTGTGCGTGCATGTATGTGTGTGTGCACGAGGACTAGCAGGAGGTTTTCTCCCTTTCCCCTTGTCTCCTTTGGCAGAATTTCCTTTTGCCCATGGTGCATGTGGATTTCTTGAGCACCTGTGCATGTCAGGCACGGTTTCGGGTGCTCCTGGGGGAGCTGGTGTCCAATATGCAAGATCAAGGCAAATGGGCAAAGGCTGAGAAAACAAAATGGAGCCATGTACTAGAGCTTGGCCAGAAAGGGGCATGGCAGGGCTGCTGCCTTGGGTCCTCCAGGGTCTGGGTGCAAGCAGCTTATTAAGGACGTAACCCAAGGAAGCTCTGGGAGGGGACCCGAGAAGGGAGGACAGCCAGTAGAGTCTGATGACCACTGCAGGCACCTGCACGTTCCCCACTGGGACCTCCCAGGAGACTGTGGATCATGCCTGAGTCATTCCCCTGAGGGATGATGGCACTGGGGTATAGTTACTTACCAGCTTCCATTCTTTCCCGAGGTTCACTCCTGGGATGCAGGGTGACGCACTTACCACTAGTTTGCGTAGAACTTTAAACAGTGACCTCTGGGGTTTTTAGAGAGGATACGATGTGCAGGATCAGGGAGCATCTGCTGAAGCTCCCTGTCTGGTTGTTCAGGTGGTACACTGCACAACTCCCAGGGGAGCAAAATGTGTGTAGCTAGAGCTGGGGGCATAGCAGAAGTATATTTCAGTCCTTAGAGAGAAGGCAGTGGAACATTCTGACACACAGAAAATCATACAAATGAAGCTTCTTAAAACAAACACTGTACTTTGAGGTCTTGGGGAAGGTGCCACAAAATTTTATTAAGGGCATATTTTCTCACGACAGAACTTGAGAAGGGAGGATTACTCTTTTCAGTGTCCTTAGCCCTAGATCCTGATACTCAGCAGGGACCTGTCCACTTCTGAGTCATTTCCCCGTTGAGAAGGTGATAGAACCCCTGGGGCCTCAACATGAAGACGTCATGCAGGTCATTCACGCGCGCTTGTTCTGTGCCCTACAGCATGTTGTATTAGAGCAAAAGAAACAAAAAAAAGCAGCAGAAGGTTAAAGGCTAGCACTTGGCTTGTGCGACCATCCCAGCATCCCTCTGGGCAGGGACGGTCACTCGCCCTTGGCCTCCCACGTTGTAGCTCTGGAGCCGGTCCGCATGCATTTCTAACTCAGGCCACCCTAGGAAGCAGGGAAACCATTAGGAGTGTCCCACATTCTCAGGCTCCCTTTCCTCCCGAGGCCATGACTCATCTTGGCCTCCCGGGGCCCACTCGGTGGATGCCTGACCTGGGACTAGGCAGGGGCAGGAGCAGCAGCAGGAAACAGCAACTCCCAGAATTTTCCGTGTCCTCAAAGCCCTGCCCAGGTGCCCTGGAGCAGGTTTTCCTGACTCAGGAGCAGGAAGCAGAAGAACTCTGGAAACCCCTCTCCCAACACCCACCCCAGGAGAAGGGCAGAGGGGGAAAGAACCAGAATTAGGAACTGTGCATACAGTTGTACAGACAGGGGCCTGGGGACAGCAACAGCCAGCTCTCATCCTTCTCATTCTCTCAGTCCTCATCTGGTGACAGCCCAGTACGTGCCAGGGGCTGAAGTCACAAAGGTGACCACCTAGATGGAGCCCTTTCCCTCCGGAGCGGACAGTGTAGCAGGAGATGGAGGAGTAGCGAGGGAGCAAGCAAGGAGTTACAGCGAGCTTTGGTCAGGGCTGTGAGCGCAGAAGCCAGAGCCATCATTGACGGGGTCTGTGCCAGGGAATCTCAGCCCTGGCCGCCTATCCATCACCTGGGAAGAGTTTACAAGATCAGAATAGCAGCTAAGCGCGCATGTGCCCTGTGACCCAGCTGCTCGTAGCTTTGGGGACGTTCATTCATCATGTACAGGAATGTTCTAGCAGCGTTATTTGTAACAGCCCCTAACTAAAATCTGCCTCCACTCCGATGTCCTACGACAGGAGAGTGGATGGATGGTCGGGGTCTGTCCACGCAAAGGAACACTATGGAGTAGCAAGAATGGATGAACTAGAACAACAAGCAAACTGAATAAATTTCACTAAGGCAAAACGAGACAGAAGAAGCCAGACCCAAAAGATACTTGCAGTGTGATTCTTTTTCCTGGAATTTCAAGAACAGGCAAAAGGACTACGTAGTGGGGGGGCCAGAAGAACGCCCCCCCCCCTTTGAGGCGGGGTGTAGCTGAAGGGCATGAGAGCAGCCTCTGCGTTTCTCGAAATGTCCCCATCTTGATGTAGGTCAGTGGTTCTCAGCTGGGAGCTGTTTGGAGCCCCACAGTGTTTGGCACTGTCTGGAGTCACACAAGGAAAGTTCACGAAGCTGAACTTGGTTGTCCCGGGTGTGCTAGAGCCCTGTTGCATTTGGAAGCACGTCCCTTCCCAACTCCATAGTCCATGATGGCACCTTAATAGTTCGGGTTCGGTTGTGGTGGCGTATTCTCACCAAGGACACTGGCACACGCTGCAGCCGGGGCACTGTTCTTCTGGCAAGTTCTTGTTGTGTCAGCATAACACTCCTTATATCTTAAAAAAAAAAGGGGGGGGTGCCCAGGCCCCATCCACTGTAATTCTGATCTCATTGGGATGGCCCTGGCATTGTTTTTTGTTTTGTTTTTGCTGTTGTTGTTTTTTTCATTTTAAACTTCCCAGGCAAATCAACCGTGTGGCCAGAGTTGAGAACTTCTGCTCCTGGGGGAGGTGAGGAAGGGATCCTTCAGAGAGGTGATATTTAAGTTGAGAGCTTAAGTTGGCCCTCAGTAAGGCAAGAGGCAGAACAAGATGATCCAGGAAGCGAAAACAGCACGTGCAAAGGCCCAGAAGTGCAGATGGGGCTGGCATTAGTCACCTTTTCCATCTCTTGTCCTTAAACACCTGCTTCGGAATCCCCAGGCTGCTGCAGACTGCTGGACACAGCATTTCCTGGATGGGTCCAGGAATTCTCCTTCTTTGCAGAGTGCACAGGCGATCTGCTCCTCGATAGAGGCCACTGCAGGGAAGGAAGGGAGGGAAACAGTGTGACAGAGCAGAGAGACAGATAGAGAAGCAAAGATGGGGTTGGGGAGGACAGCAGCCGTGCCAGGCCTGGCGGGGGGACTCAAGCTTCCCTTGCTGAGCTGCTCCTGGGGATCGTGTTAAAATGCAGATTCTGATTCAGCAGGCCTGGGGTTTCCAGTCATGTCGGTGCCGCTGCTTGGGGACCACGCTGTGAGTGGCACAGCTGGCCCTGTGCTCCAGCTGTGGAGCATTCATTCCGAGAGCATTGGGGTCGCCAATAGGTTTAAGTAGACTACGACAGGACTTGAAGAGCTGTCAGTTTCCTGATTTCCCCCTGGCTGCTGCTACTTGGAGGAGGGACTGGAGGGGGCAAGCGTGACCTTGGGTGATTGCAAGCAGTTGCCCAGGGTGGAGGCCTGGGAGGGCGAGAGCCACTCAGCCCCCTTGGAGCCCAGAGTAGTTTCCTGTTAGTTCCTCCAGGAAGTCACCGTAAGGGCTGCATGCTGGGGGACCTTTGCTGGGCTCAAGTCCATCCCACCCTGGTGGTCAGTCCCTGGAAGATAAACCCTGTGTCCTCCGGGACTGTCCACAGTGCTCTCGGTGAGTACATAATGTACTCGCAGAAGAGCAGACAGCTTGACCCAGGGTAGCCTAGCTCGCTGGAAAATCACCCAATCGGAGCCAAACAGCCTTGAAGATGCACTTCTAAATCCCCGTGAAGGCAAACGAAGGGAAATGAAGTGTTGAGTGTTTGGGTAGCAGCTTAGCTCTGAACCCGCGGATGGTTACACTGCCCCCCTCTAGCCCCAGCCCAGACCACACAGGTTTCCATCAGCTGTTGTGCTCTCGGACTTTAGTTGATGGGTTTCGTTTCGTTCTTCCCCAGTGAAGTCTGAAGTGTATTTGTTAAACATCTTTGCTGGGCTCGGCGGAGGCCTGGCCTGTGGCTTGTGCTGGAGAAATTCGGGCCCTCCAGGTGCTTTGTATCCAAGATCTGTGCTCTACCCGGTCCTTGGGCACAAGGAGTGTGTGCGTGTCTTTGCAAGCACAGGGCACATGTGTGTGGCACATTGAGGGCGGGGCTAGACAAGCAGCTGTTTGCGATCATGCTGTCATGCTCGGACTGTCTTGGAGCAGTGGACTCAACCTTGACTGCACACACGGGGAGCCTGGAGAGTTACTGGTACCTGGACCCCAACCCGGAGATTCTGATTGAATTGGGCTTCGGATACTGGTATCCAGCCAGGGGTGGAAAGCTCTAGTTTGGGGATAGAAGTGTGGAGGTAGCAAGTAGAAGACATCAGGGAAGACTTCGTGGAGGAAGAGGAGGACCTGCACGGGATTATATGGGATCTTGGAAGCCCCTGTGGTGGTGAGGAGCCAGGGCTTTGTAGTCAGAAACCTAGTTTCAAATCCCAGCCCTGTCCACTTACAAGCCATGTTTGACCTCTGAGAATGTCTTTGCTCACTGGTAACATGGAGATGGTAAAACCAGCCGTCCAGAGAGGTCTCAGTATCTGTGCGGTCTGTGATATCCCTTCGTGCTGTGCCATCCAGGAGCACCAGGGAAGGAAGCCCATTTCTGGGGTTGCCTTCACTCTAATGAGCCTCCCACTGAGTGGGGAGGTTCTTTAACCAGCCTCAAGGCCCTGACAAGTCCTGCTGTGGAGAGGCCTAATTTCAAGGCTCTGACAAGTCCTGCTGTGGAGAGGCCTAATTTCATTGTTTGACCCGGCATTTCCCACACAGATGTGACCTCACTGATGCCATACATCCGTTTTCTCAGTGAACACCTGTTAACGAGTATCATTCTTCCAGGTGCTTGAAAATGCTGTACCTGGGGTTCAGCCAAGAGCAGGGGTGGACAGGAGGGAGCCGCAGACTGCAGGAGGCTAGAATTCCGGGGTCTGGGATCCCTGGTGGAGAGCGGATGCTGAGCTTTCTCACCTGGCCAGGGATGGGGCAACAGAGGTGAGGCCTGGGCCTGCCCAGGGGGAGAGAAGGGCAGCAAGACTCCAGATGCAGCTGGAAGCAAAGGCACTTAGTAGGTCTCATAGACAGCCAGGGGAGGCCCTGCAGTGGAGGTGGCCGCAGAGGCCTCACGGGTAGCCGACGGCACCACCACCGGGTTCGGGGAGGCCCTTGGCACGGGGGAGCCCACAGCCCGTGTGATGGCTCGGGGCCGCGTGCAGGTGGCCGTGCTCACACCGCTCTCCCCTCTCCTGCCAGCCGCGACAACTCCCCCAGCCTGAAGGAGATCCGGAACGGCTGCCAGCAGCCCTGCGACCGGAAGCCCACTTTACCTCTGCGCCTTCTGCACCCCAGCCCGGACCTGGTGTCTCAGGAAGCCACGCTGTCCGAGGCACGGCTCAAGTCGGTGGTCGTGGCCTCCAGCGAGATCCACGTGGAGGTGGAGCACACCAGCACTGCCAAGCCGGCGCTCACGGCCAGCGCGGGCAACGACAGCGAGCCCAACCTCATCGACTGCCTCATGGTCAGCCCCGCCTGCAGCACCATGAGCATCGAGCTGGGCCCCCAGGCCGACCGCACCCTCGGCTGCTACGTGGAAATCCTCAAGCTGCTGTGAGTGTCCCCTTGGCGGGCCCGTCTCCAGTCGGGCGGGAGAGCGGGACTCGGCGGGGCAGCGTGGGCATGCTAAGCGCGTGTGCACACGTGTGCAAATGTGCACATTTGAGGTGTGCGTAAACGCGACGGGCGCACAGGACGCAGATTCGGGTCGTGAGGACACACATTTGGGGTGTGAATGTCTGTGGACGTAAGCTCTGTGCAGGATTGTATGTGGGGGGATGTACAGAGGGCTGTGTGTATTCATGTGTGTGCATAAGCGTGACCTAGATAGGTGTGTCCCTGAGGTTGAGAATGTGTAGGTGAGCGTCTGCCTCCAGCCACCAGGATGGCCGTGAGCCCGTGGGCCCCCAGGTGTGTCTGCGAGTGTATGAATGTCTTTGCATTTGGCAGAGGGGCTCACTCTGGGTTTGGGAGTGCATGTGTGTGTTCAAGGGCTTTGGCTGTGTGTGGGTGTGACAACACAGGTGTGGTTGCCCGAGTGTGTGTGTGTCTGCATGTAGGAGGCTGCATGGATGTGGCTGTATGTGGGATTTTCTCTGTGGGTCCGTGTGTGTCTGGAGTGCCGCTTGCGTGTGTGTGCACACTAGTGTGTGCGTGTCTATGCTCATTTTGCTTCTGTGCTGGGGCAGTTGGGCGTGCTCCCTCGGGGTGAGCGTTTGTGCACCAAGCTTGGAGCATGCGTGTGTGTCGCTGTGTGTGCCCGTGCACATATGCCTGTGAGCCAGCACGTGACTGTGTGTACTTTGTGTGCATTTCGCATCAAGTCCCAGTGCCCTCGCTCCCAGCCTTGCCCGGTGAGCAGGGACAGAGTGGGGCGTGCAGAAAAGCTCTGAGGAGACAAGGGACCCGGGTCGGCTGTGCTTGGTGCCTCCCTGCGCTCGGGGCTTCGGGCCCATGTGCCCACCACCCCCCGAGCCTCAGTTGTGTGCACCTGGAATGAAGGGATCTTAATATTTGGCTCTCGGGGGTCCTTCCAGTTGTACTTACTCACACTTGAACCACCCGGACCCGTCTTAAACTCACATGTACCTGGTTCCTGGAGGCACCGATGAAGGGACCCCCTTCGTCTGGAGACCCCAGCAGATGCCTCCTGTCCTCGCTCCCACAAGTCCTGTTCTTCAGACGGAGCTCTGCACCGCCCTTGGGACCGAGTCTGGAACCCGGCATTTCCAGGCGCAGTCAGTGGTGGCTGGTGGGCTCTTCAGAGGGATTGTGGGCACGACTGTGTGGTCATCTCCAGCCAGTGCGAAAAGGTGCCTGTCTATGGACCGGGCACCAGGGCCCCTCGATCCAGGGGGCACCTGGCTCCTGGGGCTGGTCAGTGTTGCTGGGCCGTTGCCAAGTCCCGGTTGTTGCCCAGCTCTGCCAGTAGGCTCTGCCTCTCTGGTGAACGTCGAGTCGTTGCCGAGCACACCCGGGGGCTGCAGGGTGGAGGCGCTGCCGTCCTGGCAGCAGAGGCCCGCGGGGGGCACAGCCACATTGAGCCAGAGGAATTCCAAATTCTGCTCAGAGGGCGTTGCTGAGAATGCATGTCAGTTTCTTTAAAGCGGGGGGGCAGCCCCCACTTTCTCCCGGGAGTGGTGATCAGCCCTCCCGGGGACAGGTCGGCCATCGCCCGCGTCTCGCCTTGGCCCCCTTACTTCCTCCAGCTGTTCTCCATAAACACCTGGAACTCCCAGGCCCTCTGCTGGCTCGGGCCCGGACTCAGATTTCTCATTAAGCACTAAGGATTTGCGTTTCATCATGCAGTTGACACATATTTTTTCCCCTTCTTCATAAACATGCTCACAAATGCGGATTCTCTTCCCCCTGTCTGCTTCCAGACCTCCTGCCTGCCTCCACGGCATGGGGGGGTCAGGTGCCCGGTCCAAGGCTGGCCATCAAGAGCCAGGATGCAGTCCTAGCTGCTTTCCAAAGGAGCACCTCACCCCTGCCCGGGGCTCTCCACAAAGCAGGTTTATATCTGTGGAAGCCTTTTGCACCTTGGGGTCAGGGGGAGGCTCGGCACAATTCAGACCTGAGACATTTTTCCAGAGCCCGCTGCCTGTTTGTGGCGATGGCCCGCTTGAGGCCCTCAGACATAGTGACCCCCACACCCCAGCTGCTCCAAAGGATGGTGCTTCGGAAGAAGCAACAGATTCAGAGTCAGACTGCCGGGTCCTGGGCTGTGGAGGCCGGGGCTGGCTTGTGGCCTTGAGTGAGTTCCTTGGTCCTCTCTGAGCCATGGCTGCCTCCAGGCACCAACGTAAGATGGACATTCCCTGGGCACTCGGGCAGCGTAGACGCCTCGCAGGCACAGACACCACACAAGTGGGAGTTACTACACTTTCTGGTTACAACGGTGTTTCCTCTATTTTAAGATACCGTTGGGAGTGGAATCCCCCTCGATTTAACAGCAGCGCTTTGAGAGGAAAAAAGCCCCAATATGGCATTCCGTGCACGCCCGGATCACAAGAAGCATGTGTTGTCTGTGAATTGAGGACGTGTGGCCACCTCACTTAGCCTGCTGTATAACTGCGGGCAGTGTTCTTGGCTCCTGGGCCTCAGTTTTCTTGTCTGTACAATGGGTGTCATGACATAGGGCCTTTCTCACCATAGGGCCCTCTCACCAGCTGGAACACTTGCCAGTGAGTATTATGTGTAAAAAGGAAAGAACAGAGGATCTAATACGGAACGGGAGGGAGCTCTTAACAGAGCCTTGTGGGGGCCAAAGAAGCCCCACTTAGAGCAGGCACTGCTACTCCCCGAGAGTGTGGGCAGCCCAGCCCATAGCCCCTGATTAGTTGCCTTCCCATGGGAAGGCCTGTGCATCACTGGAATCTGACACCCTTGAAAAGTAACATAAGCCCCAGGAAGTTGCCCAGAGACCCTTAAAAAGGAAAACTCTTCCCAGCGCAGGCCAGCATCACTCTGTGAGGTCCAGGCTGGGTGGTACGATGGAAAGAATGTGGACTCAGAAGCAAGACTGAGCGAGCAGGCTCGGGTCTGTGGGGTTTTGGAGTCTACCTCTTTTTTTTTTTTTTTTATTTTTTTTTTTTTTTAAGATTTTATTTATTCATTTGACAGACAGAGATCACAAGTAGGCAGAGAGAGGCAGGCAGAGAGAGAGAGGAGGAAGCAAAGCAGGCTCCCCACGGAGCAGAGAGCCCGATGTGGGGCTCGATCCCAGGACACTGGGATCATGACCTGAGCCGAAGGCAGAGGCTTTAACCCACTGAGCCACCCAGGCGCCCCTGGAGTCTACCTCTTAACCTGAGAGGCAAAGTGTGCCGCTCACACCTTTCTTCTCCTTTATCAAACACTTGCCACACACATACACCGTGCCTGGTCCTGTGCCCAGGGAGAGGGGCCCGACTGCTCTCCCACTCTCAGTCCCTCTGCATCTGAGCAGCGCTAACTAGGAAAACCGGTGACATCGCCCGCTTGGTGGGATGGAAGAAGGGAGGCTGCCGGCCCCTGGGAGGACACCGGCAAAGGGGACGGGCTTCTGTCCAGGGAGAGAAAAGAGCAGCCATCATGAGCGAGCAGTGGTCACATCCCATCTTCTGACCAGCTCAAATCCGGCTACTTGATCTTTTGCAAACACCCACGTTTTGAAAGAGGTCTTGTTGGGCTGGAGGTGAGTTGGAGGACACCTCGTCCCTCAGGGGCCCTCAGGGAAGATGCAGACAAGACTTGGGGTCGTCCTAAAGACTGGGCAGTGTAAGTAGAATGTAGGAGGCGAGTGTCTGCGTCGCCCAGGACAGCACTGCTCAGTCAAGAACTGTTCTGGCCAGATGCCGCGCCGGTCAACACGGAGGCTTGGTGCCAGGAGCTGTGGGGATTGTTCAGGGGCTTGGAAACACTCTCCGACTAGGAATGGCTGAAACAGATTTCAAAGGCTGAGAGTTGGAGAGGGAGGGTGGCTGGGCCGGAGGGACCAGGACAAGTCCCAGAGCATTGCTGGAGTCTGACACCCCCCACCCCAGGGGCCACCGCATTGTGCCCTCTGGCTTGTGGCCTGAGAGGCCTGGGGTTCGGGTTGGGTGCTGGTGTGGGAGCAGCTGTCAGGGCCAGAGTGCTGGGGACTTGCGGCTTCTCAAGGCTCGCACGGCGCACCTGCCCTCTGGCCGGGGTGTCAGCTGCTGTTCTATGGGTAAGATGGGCTTTACCCCCGCCCCGGCACCATGCAGAAGTTCTGGAAGTCAGGAGGAAATCAGGTGCTGGGAGGAAGCATCTTGTCCCCGGGACGGCTTAGACCCCTGGTTCAGGCAGCAGCTGTCACGTTGGCTCACGGTTCCGCCGGGCGTACGTTGTGTGTCTGCCATGCCAAAGCAGCGGCTAGCTGCCCCAAGCCCTGGGGACCACCCTGTCCCCATTTCCTGTGTCCATCCCCTCACCTGCCCAGTTTGTCTCTGGTGTTACCTATGCCCACCACAGCAGCAGAAAGGTGGTTCTCAGCCATCTGGCTTCTGAACCCCCAGTGGAGTGCAGTGTGAGGCTGAAGACCTGGGCCTTGTGCTCACCGAGTCTAGCTTGCCCCCGATTAGCTCTGTGACCTTGGGCAGCTTCCCTGACCTCATTGCGCAGTCAAGGGAGTTCTAGAGCCAGCTAGCTCCATTCATGAGAGGACTGCATGTCAGGTGGTGGACGCCTACAGCTCATCAGAGGCCTTTGGGATACTCAGGGGAGTACTGAGTACTTAGGGGACCTTAGCTCCCTTTCCTCCATGAGCACAGGGAAGGCCTGGCCACCTCCATCCCTGGAGCTGGGCGGGCAGGCCTCTCCTAGCCTCATCACCATGCTTCCTTCCTTCCCAGGCCAGACTGGTCCAGCAGCCCTGCAGCTGGTGCCGCTCTCCACATGCTCATGGCGGGTGTTCTGCTGGCCACGGGTGTCCCACACCCCGTCCCTTGGGCTTGGCTAGCCCCTGGGCACCCGCCCTCTGCCCAGCACACCTGTGCACCCCAGACTGGTCAGCCCGGGCATTTGGAGCAGGACCAGGAGCTAACTGCCAACTTGAAGCTGGGCCCGGAGGTCCACTGTCCTCTTCCACTTTGTGCCTGTGTCCCCCACTCGCAGTCCTGTGTGAGCTGCCACGAAGGAGGCCGAGCTCGAGGCCGGGGAGCCTGAGCTTAGCACCCAGGGAACGCAGGTGACCCGCGCTGTTCTACAGAGTGGGCTCGTCGATGTCCCCTTCTGCTCAGGAGTGAACTCAGGCCAGGCCGTGCTGCTATCCTGAAGGCTCCCCAGCTCCGTGCCCTCTGACAGCCACTGATGAGCACTTTAAAGTCCCCTCAGAGTTTCCTGTACTTAACGGCATTTCTACACAGAATGTGTTTTGTTCTTTTAAAGCCAAGAGAAACTAGTAAGTGCCTTTTTCAACAGAGGGAAGTGGCCTCCTGGGCAGGTGGGAGCAGGAAACGTGACGTCATGCTGTTCAGTGAATAGGACCGCAGACACGGGTTCCTGGGTTCCAGCCCCAGCTCCTCCTGGCTGTGTGACCCTGGGCCAGCACTTACCCTGAGAGTTTTCCCATCTGTAGAATGGGGATGGCCAGTGCGTCCAGCTCGGCAGGTTTCTCGGAGGGTCCAGGGGCGGATCCCCGTGTGCGTCTGGAATAGCCTCTGCTCATAATGAGCTCTGTCTACTGAGTTCACTCCTGTTACTTCTAGATTTGCAGGAAACCATTTGCTGGAAAATTCTAGATTTGCTGGAGTCAGACAGGTGAGGGCCGTTGTGGGGAGCGGTTAAAGGGAAGACAAGCTTGCCACAAAAATCAGTGACTCCCGCCCCCCAAAAATCAGCCCACAGGTATGGGGTCATAACGGGTCTTCGTATCCCGATGTGCAGCCGACAGGCCTGTGGGCTTGCTGGGCCCGGCCACCTGGCACGCGGCTTCGGATCCTGGCTCCCCGCTTCCCAGCTGTCTGAACACAGGTGGGGCCTCAGTGTCACCTGTGAGGCAGGTGTGATGCCCTCAAGTGCCAGTCCTGAGGCGTCCGCGAGCAGGTTTTTGCCTAGTGCGCAGCCTCACAAGTGCTTAGCTGACCTGCACAGGTGGCACCGTTAGGACCGAGGTCAGGCCCCCAGACACCTCTGGGAATTCTTTTCCGCAGCGGGAGCTGGGTTCTGAAGGCTGCCACTTTCTCACTGGTGTGTGCAGGAAGGCAGGGCAGGAAAGAGCTGTCACCAGAGGGCTGTGTAAACGGTACCTTGTCGGTGGGGGTGCCTTCTGGTTCCTGGGCATCAGAAGGTCTCGACTGTCTTTTGGTGTAAAGTAGAGACATGTGGCCTGTAAACAGATAAACAACATATTGGGAGGACCATGAGGGACACATGTCAATAAAGCTCCTCAGGCCGGGGGGGCAGAAGAGCACCCCCAGATGGTGGTTAGAAGCTTGAGAAACACCAGAAGCTAAGTGGGAAAGAGACCCAGGACCACAGGCCCCTAATTCGGGTTTGGATCCTTTCCCTGCCCAGGCCAGTCCAGGCCCATCGGGCCCCTCCTGTGGGCAACGCCAGGTATCAGTAGAGGTCCGACTGTAGCCCCCCTACCCCCAAACAGAGACCCTTGGAATGAAGGGTTCAGATACCCGCTTCTGCCAGAACCCAGCCTCCTGCCCAAATCAAGACAGGATCCAGGTCAGACGGCACGCTCGAGTGTGCAGCTGAGGACACACGTCTGCCACTTGTCAACATCCCCTTCCACTTGGGAGTGAGCACCAGGCCCTGGCTGCGTCTCTCTGACATGTGCTAGGGCCACAGCTCAACAGGCCTCTTCCGGGAGCCAGCCATCTGCCTGGCCTGGTGCCCAGTCCAACAGGTGCAGAGATAAGGTGCGGCGCCTCCCGGGGGTGCTGCGGGCAGGGTGTGTACACACCTGGGCACCCGGAAGTCTTTAGCATAGGAAGGGCCGCTCCGGTGGCTTCCCTGCTGGGTAGGGTTAAAGCACTGGGACTGCAGAGGTGCCTGGCTGGCGTTGGGCAGTCAGTGCGAACTGGCTACCTCTGGGTTTGCTTTCCAACACAATCCCCAAAACCAGAGCCACCGGGGAACCCAGGTCTGGGGCTGTACCCGGTATAGGCACTGGGCGGGGCAAGAAGAGGTCACGGTCCCAGAAGCCCCCGAGGTCAAATTCAGAGGACTAGCTGGTGATTTGTACAAATAGGAAACATGGTGGGCCTCATTTTCCTCCTGCAGAATGGGTTGTCGGAATTCGGGGCCTCATGGGGCATCTGGGAGTGTTAACAGGGGCACGTGTGAATGTTCTAGTGTCTGGTCAAGGCCCATCTGTCCGCAGGCCGAGGCACTGCCGTGCCCCACGTGTTCCTGCCCTTGCCCCTCCTGGCTCCTCCTGGGGGGCAGGATGGGGGCCCTGCCGATTGCACAGCAGCCTCCGGGAGCTGTCACTTCCCTTCCTGGGACCTCTTTCTGCGGCACAGCCCTGCGGTCACCTGGCCTGTAACAGACTTGTGGTGGTCAGTCCGCTCCCATGGTCTCAGTGGCCCCAGCCTGCAGGAGGCTCAGCCCAGTGCAGCTCTCGTTGTCGTTCATGCCGGTGTCCCTGTTCTCAAATGGTCTGTCCCAGGCCGGGGTGTGGGCAGGACCCTCTAGTGCCTGGTCCCACCGGAGGCCTCCATGGCCGTCCGTCAGAGCCGCTGAGAGTCGAGCCTGGATTGGATTCCTCACCCACCGCGGCTGTGGTAGCTTGCACAGTTGACTTCTCTGTGCCTCGGTTTCCCCATCTGTTGAGTGAAGCCGATCGTAGTTACTTCACTGTGAAGAGTAAGCAAACAGAGCGAAAGCCTGGGTGTCGTGCGGCTCTGTCCCATCTACTAGGTTTTGTTCCATTAGGATTATTCTCCCGTGGTTGTTACTGTCATTTGCAGGAACTGTTTGGTTAAAATGCTGTTATCTGGACATGGGAGGAGAAGCATCTCATAAATAGGACGGCTTGACCCAGACTGCAAATAAGTAGCATGTAACTTTCATTTTTTATGAATCAGTCTATACATCTCCCCCTCTGTTCTGGTCAAAGATGAGAATGCCTTTGCATCCCCAGCATAAGCCTTCTCTGCTAGGCAGCTCAGGTGGCCGCAGCAAAATTATACAGACCGGGTGGCTTTGGCAACAGAAATTTATTTGCTGGCAGTTCTGGAAGCTGGGAGTGTGAAATCTGGGTGTGGGCGGGGTCGGTTTCCTCTGGGGCATCTCTCCTGGGCTTGCAGTGAGCTTCCTTCTTCCCGGGTCCTCACAGGGTCCTCTCCCTCTGTTAGTGTGTGCCCTGGTCTCCTCGCCGCATTGGGACGTAATCACGCTGGGTTACGGTCCCCGCACCTCGTAGCCTATTTTACCTTCATTGCATCTGTGTCTCTAAACACAGACACAGTCTAAGGTTCTGGGGGTAGGATTTCAACCCACTGATTCAAAAGTTAGAAGGAGCAACGATCTGGTGACCTGGGTGCAGAGGTGGGGTGGGATGAAACCCCAGGGAGCTGGAGGGTGGGCCCCTTAGGTTGCCATGAGGAAGCCTTAGGACGGGTTCTGCCCATCAGGCCCGGAGACACCAGCTGCTTGTGTCCCCAGCCCCCTGGAAGCAGGTGGCGGCTAGAGCAGAGTTGGTACTGTGGGCTTCTCTGCCAGACCCCGGCCCCCTTGGGGGCCCTCCATGATAGCACATGGTAAACCTCTCCTTGTCCAGTCCTAACCTGACTGTCGCCCCCTCTCTTTTTAGGTCCGACTATGATGACTGGAGACCATCCCTGGCCAGTTTGCTTCAACCCATTCCATTCCCCAAAGAGTAAGTCCCATTTCGGTTTCTGACCTCCATTGTCCACAGGTCACCCCGGGAATACCATGGACAGCGGTGGGAGAGGGAGAGGTTGGTCTTCCACTGTGGGACCCCCAGGGAGGCACCACTACCCCTGACTCCGAAAAATGGGGAGATGACCTCACCGCAGCATTACAAGGATTCAGTGAGCTAGGAAGGCAGGCAAAGCCCTCCCCACCATGTCTTCATGCAGAGAAGGGAGCGATTTTGATCATGCCTCCCACGTGACCAGGACTGCCTGCCTGCGCTCTCAGCGACAGCCACAGTGAAATCATAGGCTAATGCACACAGAATTACCGTCTGTGCCATCCCACAATACCCTGAACGCACTCTCACTGCACCCATTCCCGTTATGAGCTCGTGTTCCACTGCAAGCTGGGCCAGGAATGGCCAGGAACGTCTCTCTCTTGCCCGCCCTTATCTCAATACTGAATTTACCCGAGGAAAATAGGGAGAAAACTGTGTGGCCGATAATGGCCTGAGGAGAAGGCTTTGTCCGAGTAACCAGGCCCTAAAATGCCTCCAGGCCTCTGTTTTGACAGATGTGGAGAAACCAGGCCTCGGGAGGCAGCTCGGGGCTCCCTCAGGAGCCGATTAACGAGCCGGTGTTTATGAAATGCAGCTCTCCAAGGGGGACATTATACCCGGTAATTGCCCCATTTGCTGGCCTGGCCTCCCCCTGGGGCGCCCAGGACTCAAGACCGGAGAAATCTGACTCCGGAGAGCCACGGCTGTCTCCAAAGAGCAGTGGCGTCATTGGCTGCATTTGCTGTCCCCATGGCCCCGGGGACACACGTGACAGTGGGCCCATGATGCAATTCACTTGGAGAATGGTCCCCGAACGCCCCCCGATGTACAGCAGTAATTAGCGCGGCCGTGCCTTCGTGGAGGAACAATTACCAGGCACACCTGGGTCACAGCCAATCCGCTCAGTGCCACTGCCGTCTGCAGGCGCGGGCCCCGGGGACCCGGGGGGCTCCGTCTAGTCCCCTCCCTACCATCTTTGCCTCATCAGAGGAGGCCTTTGTTGTGCGGTTTCAAGGAGGGACAAAATGTCCGTGTTTCATTGTCAGCCTCCTCCGCATTCTTCGAATCAGACAAAGCCTCACCGTCCCCAGAGGACAATCTTCAGTTCGTGGTGGGTTTCAAAAGCCTCCCGCTAACGGCAGTTTTCCCTCTCTTTCCGTTGCAGGGCTCTCGCACATGAGAAGTTCACCAAGTGAGTATTGGGGCAACACCCTGGTTCCCTCCTTCCGGTGCGAGCGCCCTGTCTCCCGAGGCCATCCCCCGTGGCCAGCCCTCCTTCTGGCCCCTTCTCAGTCACGTGCATTCTGGAAGGCAGCTGTGGCTCCTCTTGTGCTCCTCTTGTGCACCACCTGTCCAGGCGCGTCCGGGCGTTTCCTGACCCCGGCCAGCTCTGCTAGGTTCCCCGGCCCAGCCCTCTCCTCAGCCCCCACCGTGGTCCACGCAAGCCGGGACCCTCGGAATGACTCTGCCGCTGCCCCGTCTCTTTCAGGGAACTCAAGTACGTGATCCAGAGGTTTGCAGAAGACCCACGACAAGAGGTGAGGCCTCCCTCACGCCCTCAAAGCCACCCTGTCAGGGCTATGGCAGGACGCCTGTGGGCCTCTCCAAGCCTTCTGTAGCTTTCTGTCAGGGCCTCCTTGTCTCCCACGGGCATTGAGAACAGTTGACAAAGGCTCCTTGCCTTGTGCATGAACACAGCCACCCCCTTGTGATGGGGGAGCCCGGCCCGTGATGTCAGTCCTTCCCTAGAAACTCAGGCTAGCCAGGGGTGGTTGCCCACCAACGGGCTGTTTCTTATGGGGGCACAGGCCTTGTCTTAGGGCCAGGCTGGCCAGGGGTTCCCAGCCCGCTCCGGGATAGCGGCGGATCCTCTGTAGGCCACCGTTCTGAAAGTCAGCAAGCTGGGAGAGGCATCGGAGTGGGGATCTGAGCCAGCTTTTCTTTCCCGAGCATGGCGGAGGCCTCCCAGAGGGGCCACTGTGTCCCTCCAGTATCTGGGCTTCAGGGAGAGCTCAGCTTCCCCCCCTGGAGGCTGTGTGAGCAGGGACTCGGGTGGCCTGGCATCCTCCGTCCGCTAAATCTGCAGATGACAGCTGGTCTTGCTTTGGTGCTCACCGTGTGTTAGACACACGCGTTTTCTCCTTGAATCCCCCCACAAGCACGAGTAGGTCCTATCATCACATCACCCCCATTTACGTTGGAAGTACCCTCCTCTTAGAGTGGAGAAACCTGAAATTGAGGGACCTCCCCACGTCACACAGCTGGTACCTGGCCCAGGCAGGATCCAAACCCAGGGAGTGAGGCTCCGGAGCCAGTTGAGTGCCCAGCTCTGCGGCAGACACACGGGGCCAGACGGGGCTGCGGGAATGAGCTGGTTGCTGGCCTTGCCCCGTGGAGCTCGCAGCCCCCTTCTCCGCAGGCACGGGTCCTGGGATGTGAGGGGATCTGGCCTCCAGATGGGGACAGACCAGGACACGTGTGCCCCCAGCAAAGCGGGAGGTTAAGGATCAGCAGAGGAGGGAATGATTTCTTCTCCTTGGTGGAGCCAGAATATCCTCTCCTCAGGCCCCATGGTAAAACTGTTCTAGAAGGATCAGGTTCTAAAACACCTTGATTCTAAACCCTGGTTTCCAAGGTGGTCCTCAGGTGCAGTGGGAAAAAGCAAAAATGGCCGATAGGGAGTTCCTAAGTGGCCGGATACAATGCTGGTCTAAAGTGTCCTTCCTTCACTGTGTATGAAGACGGATTCTCCGAATTCCCCTGGAAGGTGAGCCTCTAGTTCAAACACAGACTTTGAAGCTGAAGAATAAAAGTGGTCCCAGCTGCTTCCCAGAGCGGAGAGGCAGAGCCAGGTGCTGGCAGGGAGCGTTCCAAGAGCTCGGTGCCATCCGCAAGGCCCCAGGGCACTGGTGAGCAAGGGGCCAGGTTTGCTGGGGATGCCCTGTGCCCAGCACGCCCCTCGCCAGGCCTTGCTCCAGGCTCCCGTGTGCCTCTCCCTTTGCTTCTCTTTCTCCTCCTCGAGTCCCCTCCCACCGTCTCCCTCCAGAAGAAGCCACAGTTACAAGTCGTTTGTATTTGCTGAATAGAGTTCCGTACTCTTGATTCCTGATTTCTTTGAAGCAGACAAATTAACATTTGATATTCTTCCAGCTCCAAGGGAAAAATCAAAGCCCCACCGCCTCCTTTTCTGCTTACTTGTGTGTGGGTTGGGATCAGCTACGTGTCTGCGAGTGAGTGGCTTTTGGCAGCAAATTGTCCTTCAGTCCTGAAGGAAATGATGGGACACATCTCTCAGCTCTCTTCTGAGGACAGGGAGGAGGGAAAGAAACAAAGGCCTTTGTCTCTCTCTCTCTCTCCCTCTCTCTCTGCAGTGATAGGAGGGGCCAGGGTGGATGTGGAATTCCTTCTGGACACACGCACACACATGTGTTTGCACACTCGCGCACACGTGCCCACCCACATACTGACACGCGGAACTCTGGGAAGACAGTTGAGACCCACAGAGCCATGCTTGTGCATGAAACCGTCCCACCCGGGTCCGAGAGCCTTCCAGGGAGAGGCACAGACTCGGAAGGAGGTGCAGAGCTCCAGCGGAGGAGAGGCAGTGGGTGCCCTGAGAGCGAGCAGGACAGAGGATGGGAGGGAGCTGAGGGCAGAGAGCCAGAGAGAGGATTTAGAGGTGCAGAGGGAGAAGGGAGAAAAAAGAGCTCCCCCCGGCCCCCCGAGAAGGGCAGAGGAGGAGAGGGGATGAGTCTAAGTTGCTTCGAGCCTCTCTCCCCCTTTATTTGGCCTCAGACTTGTGTTCAGGACGACTAACCAAGCCAGGCCTGGCCCTTCCTCCATCTGTGCTGAAGGTGTATTTCTGGAGTTCCCCAGTGTGTGGATACCACACTTTTCCCCAAAAGGCCTTCCATGGTATTTAGTAGGAGGTGGGAGTCGCTGGGCTAGAAGTGAAACAGGTTTCTTTACTGCGGGACTTGTCCGAGCCTTTACCGTTGACCTGTCTCCCTTGGGCCCTCGGGGGCTGACCACTGTGCCCCTCGTCTGCCACAGGTGCACTCGTGCCTGCTGAGCGTGCGGGCCGGCAAAGACGGCTGGTTCCAGCTCTACAGCCCCGGAGGGGTGGCCTGCGACGATGACGGGGAGCTCTTCGCCAGCATGGTATGTGGGGTGGGACCCCTCACTGGGCGCGGCGGGCAGGCCCTGGGTTTGCATCTGCTGGCGAGGCCAGAGCTGCCCCAATCCAGTGGTGGTGGCCAGCCTGGGAATTTCCAGGCTGTGTCGAAGCTGAAGATGTAATAAGGTGACGGCAACAGGTGTCACGTGCTGTCTCTCACCTGAGCAGGCACCCAGCCAAGGGCTTGAAACTCTTGCTCTCACACAGTCCCACTCAGCTCCGTGAGGAGGTGACACTCACTGTCACTGCACCTCGAAGACAAGGTGCTGAAGCCCGAGGCGCTCCTCGCCCAAGCTCCCAGCATCCTCGGGCCAGCTCAGCGTGGGCCCCTGAGGGCTTGGTGTGCACCGGGGTTCCAGAAGGCACTGTAGCCGCACGGGCTCTGCCGACAGAGGCCAAGGTCAGGATGGTCGTCTCACCTTGGAGAGGAGTGACCTGGGGTCACCAAACCAGTAACTGCACCCCCCGGTGACTTCCAGTACTTTCCTTGGACCGGACAGCTCATGTGCACTATTTCTTCATCGTCAGCCTTTCCTCCTAAGCACGTCTGTGCTGAAGCAGACCGGGGAGTGCAGCGGCCTGCCCGAGGTCACACAGGCCTCCGGCCCCCATGTCCCTCCTTGACCCAAGCCCACACTGTCCAGAGCCTTGTTGCAGACGCGGGCGCCCGGCCAGGGCCTAGCACTCGAGCAGCTGTGGTTGGTCTTGTCTGTCTGCCGGGCCACCCGTCTGGCGGACCAGCAGCTCACGGAGCTCTCCGCAGTGACGGCAGACCCCGCGCTGCCTCTGGAGCCTTTCCTGAAAAGGACTTAATTTTTAGATCCCCTTCCTTACGCACAGGCCCTCCACTCCTCACCTGTGGCCCGACAGGCCCCTCTCGAGTGCCCTGTGCATCCCTGGCCTCTGCCTGCCTGCACCCCCCACCTCTCACGAGGGCTCCCCTGATGTCACAGCGTCACCGTGGCAACAGCCAGCGGTCCCCCACCCCTCGGTGCGGGGACTCAGTGTGCAAGAGAAGTCAGGGAGCTGGCAGCTTCCCCGCCCAAGAGATTGCGTCTGTGTGCCAGAGTTGTTAACGACGGAGCGGAAAAAATATACATGGAAAGGGAAGCAGACAGCCCCTGGGATGGCAGCACCTCGTTTCCATGGCGACGCAGGGCGCAGGAGAGGTCCCCTTGATTAGGCTGCCATTTCCAACCATGGAAGGGCATTTGCTATCGCACGAAGTCTGGGGAGAGAGCACACGAAGTGTTTGGGCCCCCAGCCCCGGTGGTTGGGGTCCCCTGCCCTCAGGTGGTCACTCAGCACCCCTTGGAGCTCCCAGAGGGTTTGGGAAGGGGGAGGCGGAGCTCCCTGCCTTTCTCTGTCCTGCATGTGGTGGCAGTGTACCCCAAATGCTAACCCCTGCCAGACACCTGGCAACCCCTGGCAACCCCCAGCCTACTTCCTGCCCCCAAGGCTGACGCTCCAGGTGCCTCACGTGCGTGGAATCCTACCAGACTTGTCCTTTGTGATCGACTTACTCAGCCCCAGGTCATTGGGGTTCATCCGTGTTGGAGCATGTGTTTGGGGGGGGGTCTTCTGAATCCCCCTGCAGGGAGGGGTCTGATGATCATTTCAGATCTAGTGTCCATGCAGGAGGTGGGCGGGCCTTCTGGTTTTGGAATCCTCCTGGCACCCCGGAAGCAGGCATCTCAGGCCACAGCACCTTGGTGGCCCCTCCTTGTCACACAGGCCGTCTCTCCTCACAGGTGCACATCCTCATGGGCTCCTGTTACAAGACCAAAAAATTCCTGCTCTCCCTGGCGGAAAACAAGCTGGGCCCCTGCATGCTCCTGGCGCTGAGGGGGAACCAGACCATGGTGGAGGTAAGGAGCCGGCCTGCGCCCCCGGCACGGTGCCGTCCCATCTGGGCCTTGGTCCTTGTGGACCAAGTGCCTTGCAGGGGCCCGGAGCTTAGGGCAGCTGGGAGCACAGCGGCCGAAGAGGCAGGGGTAGCCGTGGCCCGTGCTGAGCCTCGCGGGAGCGCGGCCTCCCTCACATGACTTACCCTCTTGCTTGCTCTCCTTATTGACCCTATTGACCTTATTGGCCTGAGGGATCAGCGGAGGTTTCTGTCCCGCTTTTCTGTTGCTGTAACAGACCAGCCCAGCAGGGCTTCAAACGATGATGCTCATGTGTTTGGCTCACGGGTCTTGGGGTTACTGGGCTCAGCGGACAGGCTCCTGCTCTGGTCTCTGGTGAGCAGGCCGGAGCACCTGGGACTCCAGGCCTCTGTCCACACCACAGCCTTCCCACTCACCAGGGAGCACGCCCCTGGCCCAGTCCCTCTCTGTCTCCTCCCAAAGTCCCCAGGAGCCCGAGGCCCCCAGAGCCACTGTCCCAGGGCAGACAGGCAGACGCCATATCGTCTTCCTCACGCACCTTCTGCGTCAGCCGGTGTCACTGGGCCACGTTCTTCCCGGGACAAGCGCCAGCCTGTAGTCAAGGGCTGGGGCTGAGAACACCGCTTAGCGGGAAGAACATCCCAAGAATTTGAGCCCCAGAGCTGCTTCCCTGCCAGTGAGCCTTGTGGTGAGATGTGGGGGCAAGGAGTTCCCAAGAAGGTGGGAGCAGAGTGTCCAGGCCAGGCCCTACGGCAGGAGGAGGTGTGGTGTGAGAACAGGGAGGAGACCAGCATGGCTGAGTCAAGGGCAGAAGGTCAGGCATTCGGGTGGATGCGCCCGGAGAGCCCACGCGGCCCTCAGAGGCCCTGGTAAGGATCTTGGAGGTTTGTCCCCGTGCTTGTGCAGGAGACCTGCAGGGACGGGGGGCCAGGCGGCAGGGGAGCCATGCTATGAAGACCTGGGCCAGCCGGGCTTTCCTTGGAAGGGGTGGAGTCATGGGAAAGGGAACCTGGAGGCAGGGCTGCTTGCATGTGAGGCCCGGGCCCCTGGGAAGGAGGGCCGGCAGCAGAGTGACCTGTGCAGTCACCCGAAGCCCCAGGAGGCGGGATGTGCCCGGTGTCTCCCCGCCCCACAACTCAGTGACCATGTCTTGAGCACCAACCGTGGGGTAGGCAAAGGGGGCGTGAGACTAGGGATGGAAAGAGGTATCCTGTTTTTTGGGCTTTCTACCAACCCTTCAGGGCCTAGCGTGCACCCTTTCTTTGTGCGTTTGCCGAGGGCCTGCTCTGTGCTCAGCTGGGTGTGTGCGAATGTTTCCATTGTATGGATGGGAAGCTGTGGCTGGTGATTTGCCCAATCACACAGCCAGAAATGCAGAGAGGAGAGAGCATGGTTGCTCGTTTTTTAGGATAATATTTTGGGGAGCGTAGAGCACGCCGAGCTTATCCGTCAGACCCCTGTCCCCCGGTCTGTGGGGCTGCTGGGCCAGGCCGAGGGTTTGTGCCTGTAGAGGGCAGCCCTGCCCAGAGTCTCGGACAGGCTGTGAGGTGCCTCCCGCTCCCGGGCAGATCCTGTGCCTGATGCTGGAGTACAACATCATTGACAACAACGACACCCAGCTGCAGATCATCTCGACCCTGGAGAGCACGGGTGTGGGCAAGCGCATGTACGAGCAGCTATGTGACCGGCAGCGGGAGCTCAAGGAGCTGGTAAGGCCACAGCCCGGCTCCGCGGCTCCAGAGCTGGGCCGGGCAGGGAGCTCTGCTTGGGCGCACCGGGGCGGAGCCCAGGACCACCGCACCTGCATGGGGCTCTGTCCCAGTGAGTCCTCCTCCAGGCCCAGGGAAGTCGGGACCATACGTGCCACGTCCTCACCCCCAGAGTCCGGCATGCCAGTCACTGTCGCCCTTCCTGTATGTCACCCGTGTCCCTCAGGCACTTCTTGAAGGGGGCCAGGGCTGGACTTCAGAGTGGCAGTGAACTCATGCCGCTGGTCCCTGCAGCAGCTGTCCCCCAGTGGCTGATAGGGGAGGGTGTGTCAATATTCCAGCTCCCTCAACACGCAGACGGGACTACCTCTGAGACCTGACCCAGAGGCCCCAGCGGTAGCGATATGCTAACACTCCCCTCCTGAAATGGCTTCACTGTCTCCCTTCCCCTGCTGCTGTTTCTTGGCATCCCCTTTCTAATAAACCAACTGAGCCCCAGCCTTGTCTCAGGGTCTGGCCCGAGACCAAGACCACCATGTTGCCTTCTACCGCCCTGAAAGGAACCTGGCTGTGTGTGATGTCAGCGGGGACGGGGTGTGCAGGGGAAAGAATGGGTCGTAATCAGTCTGGTTTCTGTTGCAGCAAAGGAAAGGCGGGCCCACTAGGCTAACACTGCCCTCCAAGTCCACAGTGAGTTGGTTTCATTCTTCTGTGGGGCCGGGGGGAAGGAAGAAGGTGGTTAGGCCTCCCTGCTGGAGAGCAGCAGACAGTGTCTGGTGGAGGTGAACAAGGACAACGTAGTCCTTGACAGGCCACCTTTTCCAGGAGGGATTTGGGTTGCCGGAAACCAAACATCGTAAAGATTATTGTTGAAACCGATGTTAATGTGTTACCAGTTAATAATAGTAATAGCTAACATCCAAGTAGTATTTAGGTACCAGTACTGGGTTATGAGTTCATTTTATCACTGTAATAATACTACGAAGTTGGTGCCTCTTTTTACCCCCATTTACAAGTCTCCACGGATCTTAGTCCCATCTCTCCTGCTGCCCCACTGTCCTTGGCATAAGACTTCTACCTCATGGTTCAAAAAGGCTGCTCAAACTCTAGCCGTCATGTCTGCATTCAGACCAGCAGAAGGAGGAAGAGTGAAGAAGAACATGCCCCTTCCCTTTAAGGGCTTTCCTGAATGTTCTAGTGGACACATCTCCCCATATATCATTGACCATGTTCAGCACGTGGCCACACCTGGCTGGGAGATTAGGGCAGCTGTGTGACCGCTAAAACTCAAGGATTCCATCACTAAGGTGGAAGGGCTGTTACTTTCGGTGACCTTGTGGTCTAGTACTCACACATGCACGGATCTACACAGGCCTCAGAGTTAGGGGGGACATCGGTGATCGCAGGTGGGAGATGAGCCGAGCTGCTACAGGGGAGGGTGAGTTGGCCAGGTGCACGTGGACGCATGCACACACGCGGGAGGGACGTGGCCTCAGAACACCCCAGTTGGTGATTCAGGCTGTGAGTCATGGAGCTGGAAGCTTCCTCCCTCCCCCACGGGGACATAGAAGCAGCCCTTCCCTCCCCGGCAGCCCCCTCGGTCCAAACACCCCCCCACTGAGCCACGGCATCACCCCACCTCCTGGGGATTTGTTGCCCCCAGTTATAGCTTTCTGCGGGGCAGGGGAGAGGAGGCGGGGAGAGGGGTACGATGGGGTCTCAAGAGCTGCTGGCAGCCCGAGGCCTTTCCCGACACCCCACCTGCCCGTGTGTTTGCAGGATGCCGACTTGGCTCGTTTGCTGAGCTCCGGCTCTTTTGGGAACCTGGAGAACCTCAGTCTGGCCTTCACCAACGTAACCAGTGCCTGCGCGGAGCACCTCATCAAACTGCCTTCTCTCAAGCAGCTCAACCTGTGGTCCACTCAGGTGCGCGCTGCCTGCCTGCTCCCTGCTCTGAGCTCCCTCCCACCCCTGCACCCGCCTTCCTGCCCCCAGGCACCCCGACACCGCACCTGCTCTGCCCCTAACTCCCTGGCTGGCCTCTCTGGCCAGAGCCCATGGCCCCGTCTCTGGATTACCACAGCCCCTCCCAGCTCAGCACCCACTCCCGTGGCCAGAGGAGGTCTAGGATTTCATGAAGCCCATTTTGCAGGTGGAGTTGCTGAGGCCCGGGGCAGGGATGTCCTGGGCAAAGTGTTAGAAGCCCTGTGAGGCAGGGCCGAGAGGTGGGCTGGTCTCACGCACCTGCCCGCGGAGCACGTGGCAGCCCGTGGGCCTCGTTGTAACGACAACCACAGCTCACAGCTGCTCGCTGCCTGTCTCAGGATTGCTTGTGCTATTGAGCCCCTCGTGTGGCAGGGCGTGTGGTCCCCACACCATCCCTGGGACGGGTAGGCACCCTCGTTTGACAGAAGAGAAACCTGGGTGTTCCTGGCAGTCTGCTTTCCAGGCCCGTCCCACCCTATCCCACCGTCCTGCCCAGGGAAAAGCTGCTGGCCCCCACTTGGATCCGTAACCACTGAGTTCCCAGCCCTCCCTGACAGAGAGCAGGAGTCCCGGGGAGGCCCTTGCCCAGCCCACATCCCACCAGCAGAAACTGGACTCGAACCCAAGTCAAGAGAAGCATTGTCTTTGGAGAGAAGCAAGGGCAGCCCAGGCCCCCCCCGCCCCGGGGCTTGGAGGGTGGTAACTCCGTCCTCATCTGTCAACTGCTACCCCAGCCTCAAGGTCATTTCTCCAGGGGCCTGGGGGCGGCTGGTGGAGCATCAGGGCTGAGAGGGTCTCTGCTCCACAGTTTGGAGACGCCGGCCTGCGGCTCCTGTCGGAACACCTCACCATGCTCCAGGTGCTGAACCTGTGTGAGACACCCGTCACCGACGCCGGCCTGCTGGCCCTTAGCTGTGAGTCCCGAGGGCACGGCCGGGGTGGGCAGCCTGCGGCTGGCATGCGTGCGAGTGAGCATTAGCACACCCCGGCTAAGCACGGACTGCCCCGTGCACTGTGCCAGGTGCTGGGATATAGTCCTCCATCCCCCACGTGGTCACTGAGCACCTGCTGTGTGCCAGGCACTGTTCTAGGTGCTAAGAACAGCACAGCAGGGGAAACATCCCTGCCCTCAGGGAGCTTATATTCTAGAAGCAAAAGGGAAAATGAGTACCCGTGCCCTCCAGATACTTGCCCGAGGAACCAGGTTCAAGGAAAGTGCTCTAGGACATTGCTGCCCAGCTGCCCTGACCAGTGGCGGTAGCCACCCCCTGCGGTTAGAGGCACAGATTCTCAGGTCCCGCCCCAGACCTGCTGATTCGATTTTAACAAGATGCCCAGGGGACTCCCTGCATTGTTCAAGTTTGAGAAACGTTGCCCTGATAGAAAGGGTGCCTCGGTGGCCAAGCCGGTTAAGCGTCCAACTCTTGATTCTGGCTCGGATCCTGATCTCATGAGTGGTGGGATCAACGTCTGCATCGGGCTCTGCCCTCAGCAGGGAGTCTGCTTGGGCTTCTCTCCCTCTGCCCCTCCCCCCACTTGCACACGTTCACACTCAGGGAGCCCAGAAATGCTGATTCCCATACCCCAACCCTTATCTCCTGGACTAAACTCTTGGGTGCTGAGCCTGGGAATTTGCACTTCCCGTTTCTGACCTGCTGGTTAAGATCAGGGGCCCCGTGTCTTGGCTGGGAGGAATCAAGGAAGGCTTCTCAGGGAGGTGATCTGGGTGGAAAAGAGACATATGTAGGAAGTGGCCGAGGAGATGATATGCTGGGCAGTGGCCGTGGCTCCTGCGAGGTTGTTGGCAAATTCCATATGGCTTGGGAGGGGTGGGGACAGGAGGCAGGAATAATGGAGGGCAGAAAAGATGAGGTTTGAAGACATTTCTCTACAAATGTGCTCCTTGGATACTGTCATTGGAGCCCCCCAGTCGCTGGACCAGTGCCCCCAGGAGGGGGCAGAGCATCGCACCGCTGACGTGCGGCTCCTGACCAAACCGCAGTTTGAGACCCACTTTCAAGAATTTGGGGCCTGGGGCAGCCCTGCTGGAGAGTTTGCAGAGTTCCCCTGGGGGACGGGCCAGGCCTGGTCACTGCGGCTGATCTGCGGTGTGGTGGGCAGGCGCTGGGGACACTTGGGGTACACGCAGTGGAGGGAGTGAGAGAGAGACCAGGAGGGAGAGAGGCTCAGAGAGCAGGGAGAGAGCATAGGCGCAGACCAGCGCTCGCCTGAGACTGACCTTCTGTCCTGGTGGCCCCTGGCCACGCCCCTGCAACGCCCCTGCAACGCCACTCGCCCCACCCCATTTGCTCATCGGGGCCTGGGCCACTGCAGTCAGTCCCCTGGCTTGTCTGCCCCATCCCTGCAGCTTCCCTGAGCGGGAAGGTCTCACTGATTCCGTGACGGCATCTCTCTGTCCTTGTACAGCCATGAAGAGTCTCTGCAGCTTGAATATGAACAGCACCAAGCTCTCGGCGGATACCTACGAAGATCTAAAGGTACTTCCTCCCTCTCTCCCTCCCTCCTTCCTTCTCTCCTCTCTTCCCTCCATCCACCAGCATCTAGATACTGGCGCTTCGCCCTCATGAAGCTTATTCTCCCGCAGGAACGGCTCTTACTGCAGCAGATAAGGCAGTAAACAGAGTAAGGGCAGGTTGAAAGGAGGGATAATGAGGAGGCCAGCAGGCAGTGGGTCGGGTGAAAATAGGGAGGGCCTGTTTGGCATGTGATCATCAAGGATGGTCCCTTTGAAGTAGAGGCCACAGCAGCCGAGACCTAAAAGATAAGCCACAGATGCAAAGGGTGAGAGGAAAAGCAAGTGCAAAGGTCCTGAGGCAGAAAGTGTTGGCGTGAGCTGACTTTGTGGCTGATGTGAGTAGAGAGTGAGAGAGAACAGACTGGGGCCAGACTGAATAAGGCCTCATCAGTCACAGAAGAGCCCCGGATTTCATCCAAGTTCAGTAGAAAGCTTTCGGAGGCTCTAAACAGTGGAGTGAGTTATGCTTGTAAGTGCTTGTTCTGGCCGTTACCAGGAAAACGGATTTTTTTGTGTGGGGGCGGGAAGTAGTGCAAGCAAGAGTAGAAACAGGAAGCACATTAATGGGGCTGGTGCCGTCACACAGATAAGAGTCTGGACTGGCAGCCTGGGCTAGGTTGGCAAGATAAAATTGGGGAAAGGAAAAAGGATCTGAGTGGGGAAAGGCAGGGCACATTTTGTTTGTAAAACAGGTCCTAGGGATTGGAGAAGCTGGGCCTTCAGCAGCCTCCTGCCCCCGTCCCAGTGGGCCCGGTCCCACCTGCCCCAGCAGGCAGGGAGCGGGCTGCAGGTAGCCAGTGCCAAGCACGGAAGGGCTGGGCCAGGTGGCCAGATGGTCCCGCCAGCCTACTGGCGCCTTCGCGTGCAGGAAGCCACTCGGAGGGAATCCTCCCCAGCAGGGGAACCCCTCAAACCTCCCACTCAGCCAGACCCATGGCCGCTGTCACAGCATCTACTGTGTACCAGGCCCACACTGGGGGCAGGGACTCCACAGTGCTTCTGGGTCCGTCCCTACACCCTGGGCGGAAGCTCAGTCCTGGCAGACGGATAAAGAGTAACCCAGGCAGGACAGGGCTTGGGGACCAGCAGGGAGGGCACGGGGGACAGCCAGCCCTGTTCAGTGGGACAGAAGGGCCTTCCCAAGAGGAGGGCTTAAGAAATGAGTTTGCCAGGCCGGCCAGAAGAGAGGGCTGTCCCAGGGGTCCTGAGGAGCGCATGGAGAGGGGGTGGGGGTGGAGTGGCCTCAGTGCCTGCCCCGCCTAACCTTGGTGAGGTCAGACCTCCCCCGGGGCTTGTCACAGGTGCAAACTCCAGGGCATCCTGCCCAGTCCAGATGGGCATTTTTGCCCCACTGCCAAGGATTGCTATGCCCCTGAAAGCTGGAGGAGCCCAGATCCAGACACCAAGCAGCACAAGGGCATATGCAGTTGGGGAAAAGCCACTTCCACATATTCAAGAGACACGTGGTGCCCACTTGAGGATACTGGCTGGTGACGCCCCAGCCTCAGTAATGCGGGAATCGGACCAGCCTGGGGGCGGCCCGCCTGCCTCTGGGGCCACCCAGATCGCTGCCCCCCCGCCCCCCACACCACCCGTGCGGGAGAACCTGGAACCACTTCCTTGTGTTGCGGTCTCCTGATTTTGTGAGGTTGGCTTAATTGGCTTAAGGGTTTTTTTTTACAGTGCTGCACGGGTGACTGCAGGCCCCCAGTGTGTCACCTCTGCCTGGGCAGCTGGGGGCCGTGAATCGGGCCCCAGGACAGAAGCACTGAGGAGCTGTGCGCTCGTGTGTACGCACGTGCGGTGGAAGGTCGCCTGGGCCGGGTACACATGGGAGAGGGAAGGCAGGAGTGCAGAGAGGAGAGCCGTTAGCCCTCTCTGCGCAGGGCAGGCTTGTGGAGAAAAAGCTGCTGTTTATAAAGGAAGAGAGGAGCCGTGTCTGGGCAGCAGGGACGGAGCGCAGGAGGCGGCTCTGCGCCGTAGCAGGTGAACTAGTCTCGTCGGATCTGACGGAGTGTCCTGCGGGGGAGACCCTCCGCCGCCCCCCAGTACCGGCCCTGACGGGGATCTCATGGTCCTGTGATCCTGCTCCGTTCGCCTGCCCGACTGCTGGTAGTGACGGGATGTAAACAGCACAAGGGAGAACGTCCCCGTCCCTGGAGCATACTGCTGTGTGTTCGCTGTTCCCGTCCTTAGCGCCATCCTGGGAGCGGAGGACTGGGTCCCATTCATTGCACAGATGACACCTGAGGCTCCTGGAGGCTGGGGGCACGGCCCCGGGTCCTGCGGGACCTGGGTAGAGTGGTAGAGCTGGGCTCATGCCCCAGGCTTCCCGCCTACTCCAGAGCCAGGGACACACGGCCGGTCAGAGGAGGGGGCCATGATATCCCCAGCAGCTGTCACCTGGGCCATACCCACATGTACTGCCTTCTCCCCAAGGTCACCCAGCTCTGAGCTCCGGGGAGCCCCCGCTGGCAAGGTGGGGAGGGCAAGGTGGGACCCCCAGCCACTGAGGCAGGGGAGCCAGGCACCGCGGGGCCTGGTGCTGGAAGGGACCGGCTCCTTCTTGCCGCCCCACAGGCCAAGCTTCCCAATCTGAAGGAGGTGGACGTCCGCTACACGGAAGCCTGGTGAGCCTCCCGCCTCGGCAGGACGGCGTTTGCAGCTGCAACACACAACTCTTGACTAATAGCCGTAGAGCACCGGTCCTGGGGTCCTACCCCCAGCGTCCTGGCTGTGAGATAGATGGGGGAGTCTTTCTGGGGGCGGAGGGCGGAGGGGGGAGGGGGTGGGGAGGGGGGCCGTGCGCACGCCCAGCCCCACCTAATTCTTTTAGCTTCATAATTGGAAACCTTGACCTGATCTAAAATGGACTTTGTAGCAACCAGAGGAGCATCAGCGGGTCGGGGGAGGGGGTGGGGTGGGCGTGGGGGGCTTGGGGAGGGGGGACCCTTTGTGGATTTTCTTTGCCTTTGTGTTTAATGCTGTGTGGGAGAAGTCAACCCTGATGCCGCCATCACACGACCCCGATGGGCCTTGAGGGCTGAGGAAGGATGCTTTCTTCCTCAGAGGCTCCACCGAGAACTCAGCCCCTGCCATTGGGACAAGAAAACCCAGACATGTCATCCCACCGTCCTGTGTCCTCGCCATTGCTATGCAAAGTGATTCTTGTTGTACATAAGATTTAAATAATGCGCCTATTTAAGAAATGTTGACAAATTGCAGGTCTGGGACCTGCCTCTTATTTATGAAGTCTTTGACCCTCCCTCCCTCCCTCCTGCCCTCCCACCCTGCCCACCCCTGGCCTGTAGTACTGTACAAACCAGTCAGCTGTTGGGGTAGTGGTAGTATTATTGTTATTTTTTTAAAGGAAACCGACAAAAAAAAAAAAAAAAAAACCTCCTTGGAAAATTAATTGCTTTTTTGTAATGAATTCTGTATGCTAATGCTCGGCCGTCCGTCTGCCCTCTCCCCCCGCCACCCCCAGCCACTGTGCATTTCCAAGTCCCACGTGTCTCCAACTTGCTCACGGGTGGGGGTCAGGAGGCTGGGAGAAGTGGGAGGTGGGGTCCCCATGTTGTAGTCTTGCTCCCGCCAGGCCCCGGCTTTCTCTCAGCCCCTTTTACACGTGTGTGGGAGGGGTGCTTGACCTGTCCTCCCAGCCCCCTGCCTTGGAGAGCTCCCATCTGCCGTGGCCTCTACCCTCCCCATCCCCACCGAGACTGTGGCCCGCGGCCTCCCCTCCATCCTGTGCTTCGCGTGGTCTCCTCATGCATGCCCGCTTCTTTGCATGGTCTCTTGGGAGAAGAGAGAGACGTCACCTCCACCAGCCTGACTGCCCGCCCTGCCCCCCATGAATGTGACCACTGCGGCGCAGATACCCCTTCTGTCCCCACCCCAGTCCCGAAGACAAACCAACCTCCATTTCTTTTGTAAACAGTCTGGCTTTTTCTTAACATGCCCTCACTGTACAGAACAGCCCTTTTATGGTTTACTTGGGGTCCCCTCTCCCCCCAAGCCCCCTTTTCTGTTGGTTTAGCACAAATACCGCCCCCCTCTGGCACCTCCAGACCTAACCCCCAGTCAATGTAATTGTTTTATATATATTTAATCTTATTCAATGGAAACCATGCTTTTGTCGTTTTATACTTTGCTAGGTAGACTTTATTACCCCCCGACTATGCCCTCATTTTTTTAAAAAAGGAAAAAAAAAAAGAAATTGGGTTTCGGTCTTAATTCATTTTACGTGCCAGGTTTTATTTTGTGTGTGCGTGTGCGTGTGTTCTGTTTCGTGTTTTGTTTTGTTTCTGTTGTTGTTGATTTCTGTTGTTTGGTTTTATTCTCTCCCCTCCAGTCCCATACTTTGTAGCACTCTGGTGCAGGAAGAAGCAGAAGCAAAAAAAAAAAAAACAAAAAAAAACAAAAAACAAAAAAAAAAAACTTTAAAAAACTTTTAAAAAGGAAAAAAAAAAAAAAAGAACCAAGACATGCCACCTTTTCCCTTCGCACTGTTGCTTTTCCTGATGGTTAATACTACTGTCACGTAGCTGTGTTCAGAGATGTGAAATACTTTCAGGCAAAAATAAACTGTAAGTGACTCATTGACATCTGGCCTTTCTGTGTGGCTTCGAGGGAGCCTTTCGGTGGGGGTGGGAAGGGGATAAGACCCAGGCGGAGGTCAGGACTCCTGGGTGTCCCGGGCTCCTTCCCCGCGGCGCGGTTGACATGTGGGGCCAGATCCCCCTTTTCATGACGTCACTCTGGGCATCCTAGGATGTTGGGCGGCGTCCCTGGCCTCCACTGGCCTCCCCCAGTCCTCACAACCAGAACACCCCCAGGGGACAAGAATCGCACCCCCGGGGGACACCGCAGGCAGCCATTGTATGCTCAGGGCCCCTAGGGCAGCTCTAGTCTAGAACTTCTCCACCCCTGTGCCTTTCCTTCACCTGGGCGTCTCAGGAAATGCAAATTCTAATTTCCAGGGTCTGGGTGGGGCCCTCCTAGGACCTCTGGGCAGCGGAGAGGCTGCCGGTTTACTGAAGCTGCTCTGAGTTCAACAGCCTAGACCATCCATCCAGCTGCCCTGGCACCCACATGTCCCCCCAAGAGGGGTTCAGTGCATCCTGGGAGCTTTATTTCTACCCCTCTCCTGAGTCATTTGCCTTCCAGCGTTTTCTCACTAAGACCCCAGCCCAGTGGCCCCATTGCTCACCCTGCCGCATGTCCAGGCCATCGCCAGCCCTCAGAAGCGACTCCTTACCCATCTGTACGTCCACCTCCTTCACCGAAAGCCAGCCCCTCGTCTCTCTCCGGTTGCTGGAGCGGCACCCTCACCGTCTCCCGGGGTCCATCCTACACCCCCTTCCAACCCTTGCTGCCCACCCTGCCTCTCCCCATCCTTGCTCCCCGTTCCTGCCCTCCTTGCTTCCAGAGGCCTCTGTACACCCATCGAGGGGCCAGCCCAAGAACGTGATGGGGTATCCGCTGCTCCGCCCCCGGCCACACCGGGAAAGCAGGTGCCGTGGGCGAGGATCCGGAGGGCCCTGGCGGAGACGCGTGTGTGCGTGCGGACATGTGTGCAAGGCGCTGCTGCCTTCTCAGTCACTGATCCTTGCCGCCCCGGGGAGGGCCTGGCTCACCCCAGTGCACATAACACACCAAATGCACGGAGGGGGGGGGCGCCCTGCCAGCCATCCTGTCCTCAGCCCTCCTCCTCACTCCGTTCTGCATCACCTGGGATCCCCTGCCCCTGGCTTCTCGGGGAGCCTGGGGAATGCAGGCTACGCAGAGGGGGTCGGGAGGCCGGAAGAGAGATTTCAAGGTGCTTCTTCCTCTGGGCATCCCAGCTTCATGGTATCCTCCACTACTCTGGCTCAGGGAGTAATACCATTGTCAGCCCAGGCCTCGGCCTCGTCGGACCTGCCCGCTCCTGCTAGCTTGGGAGCCTCACACCCTTTGACCCCCACCTGCCCTGCAGGAGGCCCCGAGTCTGGCCATTGCCCTCCCCCTGGCACGCCTGAGCCTCACTGTGTCTTCCCTTTTAAGCCAGTGGCTTAAAACAAGACATGTGTTCTCTCACGCCTCGGGAGACCAGAAGTCCTCAAAGTCAGTATGTCGGCAGGGTCGCACTCTTTCCTTATCTCTTCCAGCTTCCAGGGGCTCCGGGCATTCCTGGTCGAGGCTCCACTCCCCCAGCCTCTCGGCCTTTCTCACCCCAACCCCCACTCCTGCGTCTGTTTACCCTCTGCCTTCTCTTACCGAGACTGCTGCCGCTGGTTGTAGGGCCCACCTGGATGACCTAGGATGACCTCATGGACAGGTCCTTAACGGGATCATCTCTGCAGAGACTCCTTTTCCAAATAAGGTCACGGTCATACGTTCCAGGTGAAAGCATCTCCTGGACCCCACCACTGGAGGGCAAAGATGGGAGTGAGAAGAGCCCGTGTTCCATTGTTCACACTTCCAAGTCTGGGATTCGTCCTGCGGGCTCTGAACGACAGGGAGATTGCAATTATCCATCTGTTTTCTAACGAAACACTTCGGTAGCCCCTACTGAGTCCTACTATGACCCTTCTTGCCTGATAGGGAAGTGGAGGCCAGGAGAAGCTGGGTCTCTTGGTCAAGGTCGCACGGGGAGCAGGGCCTTGGGGGGCCATCTCCGCGCTGCTGCCTGGTGGATGGATGGGGCTGGGACCACGGCAGGGACCATGTCGAAAAACAGATTCAAGAGGAGCTTAGGAGTCGAACTGCAGGACATGGGACTGGTACAGAGGGAAGGCCGGCAAGGAGTCAAGGATCGGGTTCAGTTTCTCGGCGGATTCCCCATGTCAGGCTTCGAAGGGCCTAGACTTAGCAGTTCTCGAGGACAAGCGGGGCTGGTATGTCTCCCTCCTAGTGGGCTCTGAGGCCTGCTTTCCCTGGGGGCGCCTCCCTACACGGTCACCAGGTATGTCCACTCTAGCCAAGCTGGAAGGAGTCTACAGCTGGGGACCCCAGAATCCGCTTGCACCCGTGTTTAGAGCTGGACGGTGGCACCTGACGGGAGCTCTCCTACGTGGCCAGCAGGTGTGGAAATTGGTTTGCCCTCTTTGGAAAGCATTTCAGCTAAAGCTAAGCTCCTGCCCCACCCTGGGCATATGCCCCACAACCCCGCTCCTGGGCGTATGCCCCAGAGAACCGAGTGCTCGTGTCCACCAAGAGACGTAAACGAGAACACTTCCAGCAGAATTCTTCGTAACCGCCAAGGAACTGGAAGCCGCCCAAATACCCACTGAGAGGAGAGTAAACAAAGCAGGGGAGTCACGTGGCGGGACTGCACAGGTGTCCCCATCAATAGGAGAATGAATAGATACAGTGACACAGTCCTACGATGGAATTCTGCAGAAAAGGACAAAAGAGCCAACTACCGCTACCCACAGTGATGTGAACTAATTGGACAGACATTCCGTGTGTGCAAGGAGCCAGACATCAGTGAGGGTTTGCCACCGGATCCCGTTTACCTGAGTTCATGAACAGGTACCAGGCATCTGTGATTATGGAGGTCAAACGGAAGTTGTTGATAGCCCAGGGGCAGGACGTGCTATTGACTGGGAAGGTAGGAGGGAGCTTTCTGGGGTGATGAAAATGCCCGGCTTCTTGATCTGCAGTCACACGGGTGTTTAAACGCTCATGGAGCTCCACATTTCAGATCTGTGTCATTTACTGCACAAGTGACACCTGGGGGGTTCAGTACATTAAGCCTCTGTCTTCGGCTCAGGTCACGATCCCAGGGTCCTGGATCCAGCCACGGGTCCTCGAGCTCCCTGCTCTGTGAGGAGTCTGCTTCTCCCTCGGCCGCACTCATGAGCTCGCTCGTTCTCTCTCTCTCTCTCTCTCTCTCTCTCTCCTCTCTCTCAAGTAAATTTTAAAAACTTTTTTAAAAAGTGGCATCAAGTGGACACAACCCAAATGTCCCTGACCAGGTAATAAATAGGTAAATCCAGACAACGGACTATTATCTACCTGCAAGAAGGAATGCACTATAGATACTCATTCCAACACGGGTGAATCGTGAAAACATGATGCTCGGGAAAGCAACCCAGTTGCAAAAGACCACATATTGTTTTGTTCCATTTATAGGAAATATCCAAAATAGGCAGACCTATGGAAAGGGAAAACAGACTGGTATTTACTGGGGGCTAGGAAGCAACCGCTTAATGGCAATGGGGTTTTGTTTGGTGGTGATGAAAATTTTTTGCAACGAGAGAGGTGGCGATCACACAAGACGTAATTGTTCTAAATGCCTCTTTAAAATGGTGCGTGTTGCATGAATTTTGCCTTCGTTTTGAAAAACGACATCCAAAAAGCAGATTTTAGAGGAAAGCTGGCTGCTGCTCCTCTCTGCTGGGTCTGGGCCTCGGAGGGAGACGGGTGCCAATGCCACCCTGACTTCTAGCCAAGCTGTACTTGCCCATCCTCACCAAGTCGCCTCCCGGTGGAGCTTTGTCCCCTCCTCAAACACTCTACTGCCATCTGCTGGAAAACTGTCTTTATACGTACACAAACGCCCTTAAATGTGGCATGCTTGTTCCATGCACAACCCGCGCAGCTGTATAGAGCGGGACCTCTGACTTGGCTTTATTTTTCAGTGTAGCTCTTCAGCTTTCGATAGGGCCTTGAAAACCTCCATGCTGCCCTCCTGCCACCTCACCCCCACCCACGCCCTCTCTAATGCCGAGTAAGGTTGGCTTGAGCCGTCTTCTCAGATTTGTCAGGGACAGCGGCCGTGTGGTTCCTGATCCCCCCATTCCTGCTCTTCAGACACACCTCTAGAGACAAAGCTTCCCCAGAGCACCTGTGTTCATCTCCACAGCAGCGGGAGGCTGAGGACTGGAGAGAAGGTCTCCACCAAGCCCCTGGCAATAGGCCTCTTGGCTGTTTGTGTTTCCTCTCCATGTAATGGTAGGAACAAGCTGTTCCTCGAAAACGCCAGGCTGTGTCTCTTCTCCGATGTGCCAGGGAGGAGAAGGGGCTGCCGGATCCCGTGGGAAAGAGGCTCAGGGAACGGGGCACCAGGATATCTGGGTACAGAGCACAGGTATCTGTCCACTATGGCAGCTCCTCTCTGGCACCCACCCCCAACCACGGCCACAGGAGAGGTGGGAAGTGGGTCAATGATTCTCTCATGGGTTTTCATTTTGTTTGTTTTGTTTTTATGGGTGGCCATGCCTCGTAAGCCTCTCGTACCCCTGGAGTTCCCATGGTATCCATCATGGGCATGGGGTTGGGGACTATCTCCCCTGGTGTTGGCGGTTCAAGACAAGCCAAGGTCTTAAGCCGTGTCTTAGAGAAGTAGGATACAAGCCACATATATAAAATGTCCTAGTAGCCACAGTTTTTAAAGAAACGGGCAAAATCAATTTTAACAATATATTTTCCTTAACCTAACAGACCCCAAATAACATTTCAACATGTAATTAATATAAAACTTACTGAGATAGTTCACTTTTTTTTTTTTTTTTGTACAAAGTCTTCTGTGTGTCTTGCATTTCCAGCACATCTCCATTGGGACCAGTCACACACATCTCAAGCACTCCACAGCAGCCATATCTGGCTCTCCTACAGACAGCACAGTTCTAGAACTTCCATAAACCCGGAGCGGGTGAAGTGGAGAACAGCAAGCGTCCAGGACTTGAAATAGCCTAACGCAGGGAGAACATGGCTTCAGTTTGGATGCGTGGACAGAGAGGCGGCCTCAGAGCTGCCTGTGAGCGACCCGGGGAGGGAAGGTCTCTCAGGTGCCCAGCCTGGGGGGAGGCCCTTAAAGAACTGACCTGCAGAGCTGCATGGTTCAAGGGTCCAGCCCCCAGTCCCTCTGGAAGCAAGCTCCTGTCCATTTTAACTAACGAAAGAAGGGTAGTGTATTCATTTAGGAGAGAAAGCTTGGTAGACATCGATGGAGAAAGTCCACTAACAGCTGCTCAGGGCCGAGGGGCTGGGCGGACAGGCAGGGGCCCAGCTTTCATTTTGGAGTGAAGAAAACGTTCTCCTTCCTGTGGTGATGCCGGCACAACGCTGCAAGTACACTAAAAACCACCCGCTGTACTCTGTGCTTGGGTGGGTTGTGTGGTCAGTGAATTATATCTCAAGTAGGCTTTTTTTTTTTTTTTAATTATTTATTTGAGAGAAGGAGAAAGAACAAGGGGAGGGGCAGAGGGAGAAAGGAAAATTGGAGCAGACTTCCCACGGGGCCTGGAACCCCAGGCCAGGCTCCATCCCACTACTCCGAGATCCTGATCTGAGCCCTAATCTAGAGTCGGTGAGCCGCCCAGGCGCCCCTCAATAAGGCTATTTATTTTTAATGTATCTAACACCTACTGTGTGCCAGGCACGCTGCAGACTCAGGAGTAAATAAAGCAAAAGCCGTCCTCCACCCCATGCAGTCTGGGGAAGGAGGCAGCCCCCAGACAACTCCACAAGCCATCTCAGGACTGCGGCGGAGGGAGCTGCAGGGAGGGGCAGGCTGCTGGAACGAGCACCTCCGAGAGGGGGCAGCACCGAGCTAAGGTGCCCCGACCTTGAAGAGCCCCAGAGGACCCGCGCGCGGGGCAGGTGGAGCCTGGAACCGCCTTCCAGGCAGTGGGAAGAGCCGACGCGGAGGCCCAGAGGCAGGGCGTGGCAGAGACTCGCAGAGGGGAGGAGGAAGAAGTGGGGGCCTGAGCAGCAGGAGAGAGCGGCAGGGGGCGGAGGCAGAGCGGTGGGGAAGGGGTGCGTGAAACTTTGAGAGTTGTTCGAGTGCGCACCACCCCCCTCTACTGTGGAGTGGACGGGAGGGGGGCGGACGGGACTCCGGGAGGGCGGGGGAGGGGGTCGCCGCACCCCGCCTCCCGCGTTCCTCTCAACAGGCCGTGCTCCGGGGGAGGGGCTGCTCGTGGACGGAACAGGAAGTCAGGTCTGTTCAGCGAGCAGCCCGCGGAGAGCCCCTGGAGGACAAAGGGGCGGCGGGGGGCGGCGGCCGGGCGGGGGGGACGCGGCGGGCCTGGCTCACACCTGTCGGCCTGTGGCGGCGCGGACGGGACAGGTCAGAAGGCGGGGTGGCAGCGCCCACGCCCCTGCGGCCCCAGCTGCTGCGGAGCCCGGCTGGGGCCGCGCCAGGCCCGCGGGTGGGGGCGGGAGGCGGCGCGCCCAGCCTCGGGCCCGTGACGTCAACGTTGCCATGGAGACTCCGGCTTTCCCTCCGCACGCCCTGCAGCTGCGGCGGACCCCGGGGCTGGGGAGGCTTCCGCGGGGCTGAGGGGAGCGGGAGGAGCGCGCCAGGGTCGTGCAGCTCTGCCCCAGAGCGCGGCCCAGCGAGACCCCGAGGGGTCCTGCCCCCCGCAGCTCGCACCCACCCCTGTCGCCCAGACGCGGCTCCTTTTCGTGCAGGCTGGGAGACGCTTTGGCATAAAAGAGCGCAGGGTCCCCCGCGGCCCTCCCCACAGTCACAGACCAAAGGGGCTTGCTCCGTCCGTCCCGTCGACCATCCCCCCCACCCCACTCCTGGCTCCAGGGTTTCGTGTCCACGAACCCTTTCCTTCCCAGAGTATGTAGCGAGGCCCGTAGTGAGGCCTTCCTGGGGCCCTGCGGCCCCCAGCACGACCCCGCGAGGGAGAAGCCGCAATCTGTCCCAGCCGCCGCCGGCTGGCCCCACCCGGAGGAGCGCACGTGGGCAGTGGGGTTCTCTTTGTCTCTCCTCCGTGCTCAGTCCCATCTTCCCTTCCAGATTCTTAAAGACACCTTCAGGAACACGGTGTCCAGGCAAGTTGACTTCAGGTTCACCTCCGGATTCTCGCTCATTTCAGGCCTCTTCCTTCTTCCCACTTCTAAGGGGGACGGGTGTGGGGGGGGGGGGGGATGAAGGTGGAAAGGGATACCTGTCCTGGACTTGGGAGGTGTTGCCCTTGTCCCTGTGTGCTCACTGCTGCTTCTCCACTTGGTCACCGGGGTGCTCGCGCTGTGGCCCCGGTGTGCGCACTTGGCAAGACTGGGTGGAGTGGGAGTGAGGGTCCCTGCCACAGGGTCCCCCCAGGTCCCTCCCCAAGTTGCTAGTCACCTACCTCCAGCTGCTTCTGATGTAGGAAAGAGGGAGTTAGGGTTCAACACCGATAGCCAAGGAAGAATTCTTGAGATGTCTTTGGTGCAAAAAGGTGATTTTATTATAAAAAGCATGGGGACAGGGCCCTGGGGCAGGAAGAGCCGCACTGGGGTCATGAGGCCCATTATAGACTTCCAGCTGGAAAGGGGGTTAGGAATAGCAGAAGTTTCTAAGGAATTTTGGAAGCAAGCTTTCCAGGACCTTGAGGAGCTAGCTGTTGTGGGAAAAGGTCATTTATTACCATCTGATAAAACCTTAGTCATGAGACCCTTCAGATGCATATGGGTGAGCCATAGGCGGGGGTGGGGGGGTGATTGCCAAAACATATCTTCCAGGGATTTAGAGATAAAGGAAGCTTCCAAAGGAACTTTTTTATGTTAAAGTAGATTTACAGAATCCTGGCTGCAGTGGTGGGGAGGGGTCACACTTGGATTGCCTTTTGCCCTTAGCAGTGAATAAAGACCAGACCCTCCGCCTTGGGGAGTCTGTGTTCTAGAGAAGTCAGGCAAGAAACAGAATTAATACGAAAAAGGATGTAGTGTCTTAAAAGGATAGATGTGATGGGAAGAAAACCCAAACAAGGGGATGGAGAGAATAGAGGAAAGGTGCCCCGGGAAGGCGTCAGTGAGAAGGGGAAATTTGGGTAAAGACCTGAAGGAGGAGAGGGAGGACCCAAGGGATATTTGGGGGGGGGAGAGCATTCCAGGCAGCGAGAACAGCCAGTGCAAAGGCCCTGAGGTCAAAGCAGGTAAGGAGTGTTAGAGGAAGAGGAGATGATGCAGCCAGAGCAGAGTGAGCAAAGCAGAGAGGAGAGGAGGGGACTGTCTCCTGAGTCTGCTGCCTGCTGCGTGGAGGCTGTGAGTTTTACTGATACTCTGCACTCTTGTCCTCACAGATCAGCAGGCATGCTTCCATACCTGCCGCCAGTGGCCCCTTGCTGAGGGCCCTCCTGTGCACCGTGTCATCTCAGCTCCCAAATACCCTCATTATTCCCACTTTGTAGATGAGAAAACAGAGGGATGAGATGGGATTCAGCTGGAAAAAGGTATGTGTTGCGGGAGGGCCTGGGCCTCTCTAATGTTCTCAGGGAGGAGACCACGAGGCCTGTCATAAGAAGGGAACCAGCTTTTCTGTGGCTGTTCCACTCGGCCTCCAGAAAAGCCCAAATCTTGGGGTCACAGGCTCCTCCAGAGTGGGGCAGGACGCCCTGCTGTCCCCAGTCTTCCTTCCCTAGGCTGATGGCCCTCAGTCACAGCCAGCAGCCGTGGAATTGGCACTCCCCCCTGGTGTGGGGGTGGTCAGTTGAGAGAACGAGGTTTTTCCTACCAGGCAGGCCTAAAGGATTGTGGGAGGAGTCGGGGTGGTTCTCAGCAGGACAATAGGAGGCTGGCTGGGCTTCGGGTGGGGAACTGACTTCCACCTTTGAGGGAGGGGGCCAGCCTCCTGACCAACCCGCTAAGTCTCTTGGCCTGTCTTAGCAAGTCCCATAGAATTGAGGTCTAGAAAATGTTTCCTCACTCGTGCGACAGATATTTTCATGGGTCTGTTTGTCCTGTGAGGAACGGTGGGGGGGCGGCTGGCTGGCTGGGTGGGTGAGGAAGTGATGAATGAAGGACTAGACGGGGGGATGGATTCGTGGCTGGACAGACAGATACGCGAGGAGATGGGTAGCTGAGTCGGTGGTGGCTGAATGGGTGGTCATGGAAAGGATGAGTGGATGGTTTAGTGACTAATGAGTGGGTGTATTAAGTATCTCCTAGAGTGTAAAAAATCACCCCAAAATGTAGTGGCTTGGAACAACAAATAGGCATCTCACTGTTTCTGTGGGGTGGGAACTCGGGAGGGGCTCAGCTGGGTGGTTCTTACTCAGGGGTACCATGGGGCTGCCATTGGGACAGCAGCCGGGGTCTCGGTCTCATCTGAAGGCATCCCGGGCTGGAGGGCCCACTTCTGCAATGGCGTCCCGCACCGCGGTTGGCGGAAGGACTCAATTTCTCTTCCACTGGTTCTCCAGAAGCCTACTTAAGTGTTCTCATGATGTGGCTCTTTCTACAGTGAGCGACCAAAGCCGAAACTCTGGGGACCTTTATCACTAAGGTCTCTGATGTCAGCAAGTCAACTGACGTCAGCCCACGCTCAGGGGAGGCGAATTAGGACCCACTGCTGGAAGGAAGAGCATCAGAGAAGTTGTGGACAGATTTTTAAAACTGTGGCAACAGATAAAGGGATGGTGTACCCACTGTTCTTCCGTGACGCTGGGATCTTAGCATGATCTCAGCGCATAGCCCGCTTGTGAAATTCACCTGGGACGCTTCTAGACACTCTCCGAGCCGGGGTGCCAACCCCAGGCCCTCTTAAGGACTTGCTCTGAGCAGAGACTGGACATTTGTGGGTTCGTTTTGTGGGAAGATCTTAAACTGTAGCCATAACATTTCTGTTTCCACCGCATTTTGTTACTGTGGTAAAACGTGCACATTGTAAAACAGACCGTTTTAGCCGCTTTCGAAGGTGTGGCTCGGTGGCAATGGGTTTATTCAGGTGGTGGACCCCTCCCCTCCAGAAATGTTCGTTTTCTGAAACTGAAGCCCTACCTGTTCAACCCCCACCCCCCATTCCTCCCTCCCCAGCCCACAGCAAGGCCATGTTCCGTCTCCGAGTTCCCCCCGCTCCAGACCCAGGGGAGTGGATGGAACCCCGGGGCCTCGGGCTTGATTGACTTAGCACAGTGACCTCATTGTAGGCACATCAGAGCTTCATTGCTATTGCAGCTGAATAACCTTCCGTTGTCCAAATGGACCCCGTTTTGTTTATGCATTGTCTGTCGGGGGAGGGGTTGAGACAGTATCCACGTTGGTATTGTCAAGGCTACCAGGCATGAAAAACAAGGCCTTAGACGAGTGCCTCGCAGTCCTGGCTGCACGTGCCAATCACCTGGTAGCGGTTCAAAAAATACCAATGCCCCATGAGCCTGGCCGACCCCCTGGATCGGGATCTCTGGCGGCGGTGGTGGTGGGTGGGGGGGGAACCAGGAGTCTGTAAGAATAACCAGTTCCTTTCCCTAGAATGCCAGGGGGTGCAGACTCATTGCCAAGCCTCTGCTGCCCCCTGGTGGCAGCACCTGGGATCCTCCCTCCCCCGGGGCTCGCCTGCCTGCTCAAAAGGAGCCCTGAGGGCCTGGGGATCCTGTGAGGCACTACCCGGCTCCACTCCCCCACTATTTCCTGGGTTCCGTGTCTAGAAGAACAGAGGAGTCTATTAGAGAGGAGAAGGCACAGACAGGTGGAGGACTCCACTTTGCTGCTTGCCGGCTGCATGACCTCGAACAAGCCATTTCATACGTGCTGGGGGGACGACCACAGCTGCATCTGGACAAGTCCCTGAGATCACAGTTACAGATGCGGGTTAGCTTTGGGGAGCACCTGGAATTCCTCAGCCTCGGCACTGCTGACATTTCGGTAGGATTAATCCCCGTGGTGGAGACCCCCTGGACACGGGAGGGTTTGGAACAGCACTCCTGGCCTCATCCCATGACACAACAATGGAAACCCCCAGTTCTGACAACCAAAAATGTTTCCAGATACAACAGATGTCCCCTGGGTATAGGGTTGCCAGCCCAAAAAGGCAGGTTTCCCAGTGACATTTCAGATAAGCGACTCACACCTTTTTGGTCTCATTATGTCCCAAAGGTTGCCTTTTTCTTTGCTAAATCCAGAAACCCTACAAAACCACCTCCGTGGAGAGCCACTGCCCCACGAGTGTGTGATGCCTGCAGTAGGCGAAGCCAGCAGATGGAGAAGGTGCGGCAGGAGGGCGCTGGCCTGGCCCAGTTGGGGTGGGCCCTGGCATGGTGAGTGACGTGGGCCTCGGGAAAAGGGTCGTCATGGGAGAGGAAGCAGGGTTCACAGTTGGGCCGAGTCCCTCCAGGGGCTCAGAGCCACCAGTGTGCTGGGGGCCGGGGACACCTTGTTTTCCCAGCACCTGCGGACAGAGCAGTTTGTGGCCAACCACAAGTTGGAGCAGTTCATCCCCAACTTTTCCCCCGAGAGAACCCTCAGTGGTGGGGAGTCAAGCCCAACTTGCTCATTTGCAAGAGGAAGAAGCAGGCCCAGAGAGGGGCAGTGACTGGCCCCAAGTCACACAGCCAGCTTATGGCAGTGGCAAAGCAGGCATCTGGTTCTTCAAGCCAGGACTCTTGCCCTGGGGTGGAGCCTGGGGATGTCCTCAATTCGGGGTAAGTCCTCTAGGAGCTCCCAGCATTTTCCCGATGCAGAGGCACTGAAGGCTGGGCCTCCTGCAGTCGCAGCTGCTCTCCGTACCATTCCAAGAGAGTGCTGGGCCCCTTCTGGGGCTGCCCCTGTCGGGACCATCTCTTATCACTGTCTGATACGGCGAGGCAGCATGAGGAAGTGGTATAGTGTTGGTACTTGGAGCCAGACTGTCTGGGGCCAAATGCGAGCTCTGCCCCTCACTGACTGTGACCTGAGGCGCCCTGTACCTCAGCTTCTTCATCTGTAAAATGGGAGTGATGAAAATCATGCCTATTTTGTACAGTTATTAGAAGGATTTGATGAGTTAACAAGAAGGAGTACTTAGAAGAGTGTGTGGCAGATAGTAAGGTTTACTGCTTATCTTACATGTTTTCATTCTTCTGGTTAACATCAAAGCTTCTTCCCTGGGAGCTGATTCAGTGGGGCTCTCAATCATAGTCACCAACCCTGCCCTGCCCTCAGGAGCCTGTGAGTCACTGCACCCTACTGCCCAGTCACTGGGTTGATGAGTAAGACCACCCTGATGAGGGTCTTTTGAGTCCCACGATTCAACTTGACCTGAAGGTAGTTCCCAATAGGTAAGACAATAAATTCCCCATTTTGCTTAAGCAAGTTTGAAAAGGGTTCTGATCCATGTATCCTCTTTGCTTCATAGAGCAAGGGAGATCCCCCCAAGGCAGCCCTCTTCTCCCATGAACCAGGCCTCTCAGCCTTGGCTTTGATCCAGCCCCGAGCTGGGCCAGTGACCCACTCTCAGGGAGTCAGAGGGTGGTTCTCTGTTTGAGCTGTGATTGGAGCTCACAACAAGAGGAAACAAACTCGGGGTGGGAGGGGTGCCTGGTGGCTCAGTCATTTAAGAGATTAAGCGTCTGCCTTTGGCTCAGGCCATGCTCTGCAGGTCTTGGATCAAGTCCCAAGTCAGGCTCCCCACTCAGCGGGGAGTCTGTTTCTCCCCTCCCTCTGCCCCTCCTCCCACTCATGTTCTCTCTGGCTATCTCTCTCTCAAATAAATAAAATCTTAAAAAAAAAAAAAAAGGAAACAAACATGTATAAAGTGCCTTGATGTGCCACGTACGGTGCTGGGCTTTGAGGTTACTTGAGGTGTATTTTACAGGTGAGGAAATGGTGGTTCAGAGAGGTCATCCGACTTGCCCAAGTCCACACAGCCTGGAGGAGGAATCACTTCAGTGCAAACTCAGGTAGTGTGGCCCCAAAGCAGCTGTACTTCCCCCTGCACCATATGCCTTATTACCTGCGGTGGAGCGGGGGAAGGGTTGTTCCATTAAAACATTTTTAAATTGTAAAAACATATAACATAAAATGTACTGTGGCAGGGACATTTTAAGTCAGTATCGTCCTTCTCAGCTAAAAGATGACCTAGAGAATTAATTACTCCAAGCGGACTAGTGTCCTGGGTAACAGAGGTGAGGTCCCATTCATTCACTCGACACATACTTACTGAGCCCCTAGTAGGTGCCAGGCCATGTTCAAGGCAGGGCCCAGTTTTAAGGTCAGACAAGAGGGCTCCAGGGCTGAGTGCTTAAAGCTGAGCTCCTCCTCGGGGGACTGACCCTCACCTGCACAACCCCAGGAGGGGACACCACCTCCTATGCCCAGGAGCCTATCTTGGCCCTTCTGAATCACTCTATTCCAGCAAAGTCCTGGGAAAAAAGCAGGTTCAAGATCAAGGAGAGGGTTTTGTTTTGTTTTGTTATGATTTTATTTATTTATTCAAGGGAGGGAGAGCATGAGTGGGGGGAGGCGCAGAGGGAAAAGGAAAAGCAGACTTCCTGCTGAGAGGGAGCCCAACATGGGGCTTGATCCCAGGACCCTGGGATCGTGACCCGAGCAGAAGGCAGACGCCCAACTGACTGAGCCACCCAGGAGCCCCTCAAGGAGAGTTTAGATACATGGCAGAGTCCCAGTCCAGCCAGCGCAGGAACTCCCAGTGCAGTGGCTCTGAGAAATGATTCTGTCCACAAAGTGTCTGGGGGACACTTAACACAGTGGTATTGCATTCGCTTACAGTTTTCTAAGGGCCGTGAGAGCCTGTCCTCTATTCTGTGACTCCGTGTTGCCTCCCTGAGACACCCGCTCCCTTCCAAGCAGTGTGCCTAATCACTGCTTTGGGGGGGCCCAGTGGAGAGACCAGGGTCAAACACCAGGACATGCAAGCCCCACATGGCTATCTATGGACAGTGTTCTGAAGGGAAAGGTGGGGTGCTCTGCTGGGGGTGGGGGTACCAGGATCAGGACCACCTTTCTTGGGAGGTGATGTTTAAGCTGGCCAGCCCCTCAGAGGCCCAGAGCCCACCAGTAGCCTCCCCCCACCTTCTAAATTTTCAGTCAGCGGCTTCCTTTGTTCTTCTAGCCCTGGGGGTAGAAGCCGCTTTGTGTCACTAGGAACCCATGACCCTTCTTTGCATTTGCTCAGTTGGAACCCATGACCCTTCTTTGCATTTGCTCAGTTGAAAGAACCGGGGTGCTTTGTCTCCGGGTTCGTACTCTGAATGACACGGGAACAGCTGTAAGCCATGCAAAGAGCAGAAGTTAGCACAGTCCCAGCACCTGTCTGGCCAAAGGGCATGAGATTAGAGGGAGCAAGGCACATTCCAGGAGCCAGGCTGGAGGGGATTTATGGGGTGATGAGTAGAATAAGGTGAAATTAGGTCTGCTCTCACGCGACATGACGTGGCGTCTGAATGGGATTCCTAGAGCAAGGGGGAGCCATGGAATGTGAAGCGGCTGAGTGCTCTAACTTTCCGAGATTGCCCTGGCTACAGTGAGCCCGCCTCATTGGAGGGGGCAACAATGGGTAGGAACAAGACAGCGGGTTAAAGGTGCTTCCTTCCTTTCTTTTTCTTTCCTGCTTGGAAGGGAGCGGGTGTCTCAGGGAGGCAACACGGAGTCACAGAATAGAGGACAGGCTCTCACGGCCCTTAGAAAACTGTAAGCGAATGCAAGGATCCTAAGGGAACTCTACTAACCCCAAGTGGGTCACTCAACCGAGGGCTCCCCGGGGCGTTGCTCCCACTAACAAAGCCAGCCTGCTGACTAAAGGGAGGCGGAAAGTGCTTTCGCAGCCCCCCGCCCCCGTGTCTCCTGCCTTATAAGTCTGACATCTGTTCCCACCACACGCCTTTGAGCCCTGGGGGGATGACAGCCCCAAGCTACTCCTTGTCCTGCACAGACACCGCAACACCCAGGAAACGCCGGGCCCGGAAGCGGAAGTGAGCATGTGGGCGCACTGTGTTCTGGGAAGTGTAGTCCGCAGAGGCCGGAAGAGTCCGTGAGAGCGATGCATGTTGGGGAGAGTAGTTTTCAAGGGATCTGAGAACTCGCGGCGGTGGCCGAGGTGATCACCTTAACCAAAGGTGGTGGTTGGGGGTTAACAATTTTTAGATTTGGAGTGAATTTGTAGGTTTTGTTTCTGTCTCTCCCAACCACCAACACCTAAGGGGGTTGGAGAATAAAACCTATACATGCTTCTGTGACGCCAATCGGGCCTGAGTCAGTTATTCCTCAATCGGAGGAGTAAACCAGCTGTAACCTCCCTGAACCTCAGTTTCCTTATCTGTAAAATGGGAAAATTAATAGTTTTTCCTTGGCAGGCTTGATAAGACCCATCAAGCAACTAACAAGGTGCTTAACACGCCTTTCTTGCTTAACCAATCCCTCTCTTTTGAATCAGACCTCACAGAGCATAGGGATGTTTTTTGTAACCCTGAGCAAGAATGGTGCTCCAAGGGCACTGGATGGAGGGGCCTGGGTGGCTCAGTGGGTTAAGCCTCTGTTTTCCACTCAGGTCATGGTCTAAGGGTCCTGAGATTAAGCCCCAGGGTAGGCTCCCTGCTCAGCCAGGAGTCTGCGTCTCCCTCTCTCTCTGCCCCTCTCCCCGCTCCTGTGCACTCTCTCTCAAATAGATAAATAAAATAAAATAAAGAAAATTTTTTTTTTTAATAGTGCTCCTCTGGAGCACTTGGGACTTTGTCTTTGGAAAGTAGGATTTCTTGCCAGTTCCAGGGGGACATGTAAGGAAATGTAAGGCAATCTTCTCACCCAGAGACCTGACGACGATGTGTGACCTTACTAGCTAGGGCACAGTGAGATGCAAGTTAAAAAATAAGACGGCCTTCTGAGGCGAGTGTCCTCACCCAGTATTAGTGGGAGTAGTAATGAATGTATCCTTTATAAAGGGGAGTCTGTGTAGGTGCAGGGATCCCACTGGTAAGTATTTATCCTACACACACTGAACAGTTTCAAAATGACAGAAGTTTCAGAATATTCACTGCAGCATTGTTTGTGAAACATGATTGGAAACCATGTTTCCCTCTATGGGTAAAGGACAAGTTACATAAATTGTAATGCACTGGGATACTATGTGCCATTGACAATAAGGAGTGCAATGCCATCCTAACCGTCCTGCCAAAAAAAAAAAAAAAAAAATTGCTTAGGAAACTGTCAGAGAAATCCAGACTGAGGGATATTTTGCAAAACTGTCCTAGACCTTCAAAAATGTTGATGGTGGTAAAAGACAAAATAGGCTGAGAGATTGAATGAGATTAAACAGACACAGCAGTTAAATGCATTGAGCAATCCTTCGTTGGAATCTGGATTCTTAAAAATGACATTTTAGACACCTGGGGAAATTCCATTATGGGCTGTATATTAGATAATAGCATTGTATCAGTGTTGACGTTCCTGCGTGTGATCGCTGTGTTGTGGTTATGCAGGAGAATGTCCTTCTGAGTAGATAGCTGCTGAACTAACTCTGGGCTCTTGGAAAGTTTAGAAAGACAAGAGAAACAGAGCAAAGGCAGCGCGTATTAATAATCGGTGAATCCAAGTTTAAAACTATGGGTGCTCATGTTCCTCTTCTTGCAACTTTTTTATAGTATTGAAACTTTCAAAGTAAAATGTAGACATAAAAACACACACACACAAACAAGGAAGCTCCTTATGCACTGATGGGGGAAAAGCTTTAAGAAACACTGGCAACCTTTTGTTTGTTTGTTTGTTTGTTTGTTTCAGGCAAGGTGCAGAGGCAAAAATGCACAAAACACCCAGAGAGAACACACAAGAAAGAGATGACAAAGGCTGCCCCTGGGCAGGGACTTGGGAGGGGGTCAGGAGTGGGAAAGTCTTGCTTTTCTTTCTTACCCTTTTAGATCCTTTGAATTTTGTATCCTGTCCATGTATAACGTGTTCAGATAAAAAAAAAATAATAACTTCGAAGAAGACTATTTCTGGGAAAGCACTTGTGGTCAGAAAACCCCAGACTGGGCTCCCCTACTCCCCAGCTGTAGACCTGTTGGGAAACCCAAAACAGAAGGAAGGAAAACCAGTTACTTTCACATCCTTTCCTACATCTGCCCCTCATCACAATCCAGTGAGGCAGGTTTTAGTGGACCCATTTTTATAGATTAGGAAAACTGAGAAGCAGAGAGTCTTAGCAACTTGTCTGAAGTCAGACAAGTGAAGTGAGACACTCTTAGAGCTGAGATGGAAACTGAGACATTTCCGATGACCCAGCCTGGCTCCTTCCCTCCTGCAGGTGACCTCGCCAAGGGCTGGATATGGTGGGAGAGGGTCCAGGGTGGAAGGGCAGGGGTGGGGCTGACTTCTGGCGCTGGGTGCTCACTGAAGCTCAGCCCAGCTGCCTTCCCGTCGTTGAGTTTACAGGGGGCTCTCCAGGCAGGAAACAGAAGTCAACGCTGGGCACCCAAAACATGGGTCTGATTTACATGTTCATGCGCAACTGGTTTGGGGGTTTATTTGGGGGACCAAGAGTTAACTCAGCCAAAGAGCCTCTTCCCCGAGCCCATCTGGCTTGCTTTTTACCATCTCTATCTTCTTAAATCTTTAACAAAGCGGCTTTTTAAATTAAAAAAAATAATAAAGTAATAGAAGACATTGTTACCGGGTCAAAAAGTAGAGTATTTGAAGGGCAGTTGGACATTTCTGTCAAATTTTAAAACATACGTTTATGTTTTGATATGTGATCCAGCGTTTACAATGGAAAACAATTTTTTTTCTGTAAATATTCTCACCCAAGTATTCAAAGATACATATAGAAACAAGCACTGCTTATAAGAGAAACAAAGGCACAGAACCGTAAACAACCAGTCAATAAACACAACCAAGACCAGTGAAGTTTGCTGAACTTGCTGACCTTGAAAGGTGTCTCTAATATTGTTAAATAAGCAAATTATTTGATTCAAATGTAAAAAGAGCATTTCATTTTCATTTCATTGAAGAATAGTGAGGTTGACCATCTTTTCTTTTCTTTTTTTTTTAAAGTTGGCCAATTGTGTTTCCTCTTAAGTGAATTTCTAAAATATTACTGTCCCTTGGTCTTTTGTCACACAAAATGGGTGTAAACTCTGGTACCGTGTCTCTAAGAGTTTCTATTTATATTTCCAGTGCTTCCTTGGGGGGGGCGGGATTTTGGAAAAGAGGTTGCTGAACTTGAAGCAGAAGACGGTCTCCATCTTAATAGAACGAGTTACCCTGTGATATGAAGGGCTCTGAGGAAGAAAGGAGCCTCCTGCCCAAAGCATTGCTCCCATTTCTTCCTTTCTTTCATTTTTAGGATCTTCCCACAAAGCATCCTGTTTGGTTCTTGGCGGATAGTTTGGAAGTGGAGGTGGTTGTACCCTTTGAAAGAGGGAGGAGTGGGAACCAGAGATCGCTTGCCAAGGTCTGAAGATAGTGAGATGAGTGAGGGGCCCAGGGGAGACCCTAAAAGGGAAAGATTCAGGAGGGAAACACTCTCGGGCTCCCACCCAAGGCCCCTTGCCTGCCTCACTTAGGTCCCAGCCCAGCTGACTGCTTCTTGACCATAGAACACGAGATCGGCAAAAGCCTCTTGTACCATAAGGCTAGAGCAGTCTCAGATATCCTTCAGAGCTAGACTCGAACCCGTGGTGACAACAGACAGATAAAGTGACTCCTGCTGCATGGGAGGCAGCAGAGTTCTGGCTCAGCCCCTGAGATAGTGTCCCTGACCCTTCATGCTGTGCTGTTTTGGGGTGGGGCTACTTCCTTCCCCGGGGGTGTTTGAGAATTAGACTCTGCCTTGAAGAGAGCTCCAAGTGGACCTCTGGAGAGATGGGGATCACCCCATCATCAAACCCATTTCATCCTTAAGGTTTTTCTGGTTCTCTTTCCGTTTGCGGTAGGAATGGAAAACCATGGCTGGTTTTCTCTGGATGTAGCCTGGGCCCAGCCTCCACCTGCTGCCAGCCCACCGAGGGCCCCAGGGCCTCTGAGATCGCCCCTGGCATGAGAGTGACTGTATTTTATCAAACACATCTGCTGAGGGGACATTGCCTTTAGCGATCAACATCTCATGCCTCACTGAGCCCTCACCGGTCTTTAGAGGCAAGGACTTGGTTGTCTCCACATTCTAGATGAGGACACTGGGGCCTAGAGAAGGTGAGCAACCTGGCCAGAGGCGGGATTTGAACCCACAACTCCAGAGGCACATTCTTCACTGTGATGTCCCGCCCCTCCATTTCCCCTGAGCTCTGAGCTTGCTGAGTGCTGGCCACTAGACTGGGGAAACCAACTGTCCTGTGGACCTTGGGGATCCCCAAGGCTGGAGGCCTGGAGGCCCCCAGAATTCTAGAGAGTTTTCAGGAGGTCACTGTAGGGTTAAAGCAGGTTCTATCTTCCCCCGACTTCCTTGGGTGGGAGGTTCCCAGAAGTACAGGGCCAGCTCCGTGGCGGCCCCTTTTCCCGCGAGGGGAGGGGGTAATAGGAGTTGGGACATGTCCTCTTTGAAGGTTCTCTCTTGCTGCTCTGACCACTTCCTCTTTTCCCTGGGGCGGAGGCCGCTGTGTCGGCACTAAAGGCAGCCATGAGGCCTTTGTGTCTCTCCTGGAAGGGCTTGGCTGCCTGGGCAAAGAGCCCTTTTCCACCAGCACTTCCATCCCCGCCCCTCCAGGCCCTCCCCTGAGCCCCCGAGAGCAGGGAGTGGGCTCCCTGAGCTCTCCCTCAGCCAGACTGAAAACACTGCCTACCCCCTCTGGCTGCCCACCCTCCTTTCAGGCTCCACGGGGGCTGAAACTGCCTCCAGAAACTTCCATGGAGGATGTGGCCCAAGTTCATGACTCCTGAACTCCAGCCAGACCCGTCTGGATGCTCAGGGAGGGGAGGACCCTGGCCCTGGGTAAATGCTCCAGCCTAGCCCTGGGCATCTCAACCATGAGTGCCCCTGGTGGGCTGAGGATCTGCGGCCTGGGAATAAGATGGGCTTTGAGAAATGTGTACTTGGCCAGGTTGCTTTTCTTCTTGGACCTCAGTTTTCCCATCCATGCAATGGGCACAAAGAAGACCCCTTCCAGAGGTTGCAGAAATAAACGTGGTGCTGTATGTGTCGTGTTAGGCAGAGAGCCTGGGACACAGCCAGGGTTTAGGGCCTTGTCTGGGTCCGGCAGAGCCTGCAGTGGGTCTGAGCCACCCAGGGCTCACCCCTCTCCCCCAGGCCCTGCTGAGGGAACCCAGTCGCAGCTCCCCCAGTCTGTTCCCCACCTCTGCCTGTCCCAGCATCCCTCGATTCCCTCCTGTAGCAGATACAGCCCTCAAGCTCAGCTTGACAGGGAGTGTGACCTCTGCTCTGTGGCTTGTAGCCTCTCCAGCCCCTCTGGCCAGTCGGGTCAAACAGCAAATGTCAGTCCCTGTTGGGGTGTGCCCAGCCCAGCGCTATCCCAAAGCCCTAGATCAAGGTTTGTTTCATTGTGGTAAAATATGTGTAACATAAAATGAACCATCTTTAACCATTAAGTGTACAGTTCGTGGCTTTAAGGACACTCACACTGTTGTGCAACCGTCACCATTCTCCACCTCCAGAACTTTCTCATCTTCCTGGACTGAAAGTCCGTCCTCGTTCAACACAACTCCCCACCCCTGGCCCCAGCCCCAGCAGCCACCCCTCTGCTTTCTGTCTTGACCCATTGGACTGCCCTCCGGCCTTCTATATGGGATCCTACAGACTTGGACTTTTTGTGACTGGTTTATTTCAATTAGCATAATGTCCGCAAGGTTCCTCCCTGTTGGAGCATGAGTCAGAATTTCCATCCTTTCTCTGTTTGAATATCGTCTCCTCCTCCGTTGAGACCAAGTTGTGCTCATTCGCCTAACCCTCAGGGGACCCTTGGCTTGCTCACACACCCTGGCTGTCGCGAACAATGTGTGAGCAACACACATGGGTGTGCAAATGTCTGAGACCCAGTTTTCAGTTCTTTGGGGTGTATACCTAGAAGTGGAATTTCTAGATCATGTGGTGATTATGTTCAACTTTTTTGAGGAACTGCCCAAAGTCTTGGGGTTTCAAGTAGGACACAAGCATTGGGGAAGGCCCCTCAGGCCACACTGTGGACAGGGAGATACAGAATCAGGAGCTAGACATCATGGGTTCAAATCCTGGTTCTGCCACTTCCTGAGGGGGTGACCTTGGGTGGGTCACTTACCCTCTGTGCATCAGTGTCTCAGCTGTACTGTGGGATGCGGGCAGCAGCTGCCTTGTGGGGCTGAGGTGGTGCGGGGAGCATGTCCTTAGAACGGTGCCTGGGCCCCAGAAGCTCTGGTAACCGTTCGTTCTTTGTTGTCCCAGGGATCTGATCCTGCGAACCCGCTGCTTCCGTGGCCCTCCCCCAGCTTGGTCCCTCCATAGAGCATCCCTTTGGAGTCAGCCCGCTTCCCTCCCCAGGACTCTGATTTCTTCCCCCCCCCCCCCCCCCCCCCCCGCCCTTTTCCAGGTCTCTGGGACTCTGTCTTCGATGAGGGAGTTTCTCTTTCCCTGTCCATGGTTAACCTCTTGAGGAAAAAAGAAATCAGGAAGCAATGGCTCCGACTAACTCTGGGAGGGCCTGAGCACAGGAGGGGAAACCAAGGCCGATCGATGGTCATGGGCACAGGCGAAGAGGAGCCATTTCTTCCTTTGACCTTGATCATGCCATTCTCCTGTGGCCACGTTCAGTCTGGGTCCTGAGTTTGGGGAGGGGTGCGGAGAGCTGGGAGGGTCCCTGAGGACCGACCACAGGCATGATGACAGGGACGGGGAAGAGGCTCTCTGGATTGAGATGAAAGGAGCCGTGGTTTGGCGCTTTCCTCTCGAGGAGAGCCAGCTGGAGGGTTCCGGTTAGTGGGGGCTGATTACCCCTGTCCCTCGGCCAGCAGCCAGGGATCCGTGGGCTGTAGTCCCACCTCTGGTGGAGCCCCAGCTGGTGTGCGGGTGCAGCCAGCTTGCCTGGTCTGGGTCCCCGGCGTATACTCCCCCCTTCCCTGTGGGAGCTGCTTCTGCTGGTTCCGGGTGATTCCAGGAGAAAGGTCAAGGCCAGACCTGGCAGGCTGAGGGCTTTGGTCCTTAGAGATCCTGCCTGGAGGTTGACCCTCGTCATCGAGGTAGGCTTCTGGTTTTTGCCTCCTCCACCTGGGACAGGATAGGACAGAGAAACCTCCGGATGCCCCCCACCCTGTACCCCTTCCCATTCTCTACCTTTCCCATCCTCTTTCTTTTCCTATTTTGTCTTCTCTGTTCCTTTCCACATACCAGGTAGTAGGTGATGTGGAAATTCACAAAGCAGTGCACATCTCTTCACAGTTTATCGACATCCAGAGCCTGGTAAGGAACCAGCACTCAGTTTCACTCAAGTCGCCTTTAGTGAAGGACTTTCTGCATGGCCCTGTGGCAGAGCTCATGAACGGGGACCACACCTGACGTTTCTCCCTAGCATTGTCAAGACCAGCCTGTCTCCCATATTTGCCGACGTCCACCAAGGGGCACTAATATTTGTTCTGGGGCATTAGATAAAACATGCCACAAAGATTAAGTAGAATAACATGTAGAAAACGCCTGGCACATCGTAGTCGTTAAAAAAAATAGTTACCATTATTTTTTATTTTTTAACACAATGATTATATAAAAAGGGAGGACAGTGGTTTTTTGTTTTGTTTTAAAGATTTTATTTTTTCATTGAGAGAGAAAGAGCATGAGCAGGGGGAGGGAGAGAGGGAAGGCAGAGAATCTCAAGCTGACTCTGTACTGAGCTTGGAGCCTGACACAGGGCTTGACCTCGCAACGCGGAGACCATGACCTGAGCCCAAGACTTGAGCCAAAACCAAGAGTCAGACGCTTAAGTCACTGAGCCACCCAGGTGCACCCAGGGAGGATGGTGTTTTCAAAAGTATTTGTTGAACACCTGTGCTGTGTCCCAGTCTGCCCTGGGAGTCAAGCTGACTTCGCCAGCCTAGGTCAGAAGCAGTGAGCTCCACAAAGGTCATCTTCCCAGGAACAGCACAAAGGGAGGAAAAGGTAGGAAGGGGAACAACCAGCTGTGTGTTCTTAGGCCAGCTGCCTGGCCTCTCTGAGCCTCCGTTTCCTGATCTGCAGAGGCTGGAAATCCTTCCTTGCCTTTCTACCGGGGTCGGGGGTGAGATAAACAGAGACAGCACGTGTGGGCAGTCTTGGCAAGCAGGAAAGTGCTGTCCAGCGGAGCAAGTGGGTGACTGAGCAGGAGACAAGCGGCCGCCTCTATCTTTAACTGAGGTACAGGCTCTCGGATCCCGAAAGCCCTCTCTGCAGAAGCTTGAAGAGCACCCCTCAGGGACGCTGCAACCATGCCATTAGGAAAAGAATGTTCTGCAGAGTTCATCCAAAGACAGTCATTCCCCAGGTGAGCCCGGCTATGAATGTAGCCACACCCACCCTCCTCCGTCCCATGCCCTGACTCCGGGCCAGTTGACGCAGTATGTTTCCAGGGATACCCGGGAAGGTGACAGCATTTTCTGGGAGGAAAGATGGGCTTGTCCAGGGGCGCAGTGGGATTTCAGAGGTCGATGCCAAAGTCATGGGGGAGAGCCGTCACTATCCCATCAGGGCAAAGAACAGGGTTGCCAAGCCCATGGGTGAGGCCTGGTGGATGGGCCGCGTTGCCCCTGCAAGGCCAGTTGGATGACTTGCCATTTTCCCTCCTGTTTTTCAGACAGAGCTTAGTGAGACAGGAGTAATTTGCTGCTGGTGTCTATTACTATTGCCAGCAGTCAGGGTACAGAGAGGTTGGGTACAGAGAGATTGAGTTGCCCAAGCTGGGGAGCTACACTTTGACCCAATTGTGTCTACACTGCAGAACCTCGCTCTTTCAGTGGCCGCACCACTTTTACCTTGCTTTCTTGGCTGTTTGTTCCAAGTCTGATCTGTCTTGGGGACCCTGCGACCTGGAGCCCAGGCCTGGAACAGACATACCAGTCCTCCACACATGTTTTCTGAAATAATGTAAGAGATCCCAGTTGTTTCCACTTGCTGCTACTTTGGGCGAGGGAGAGGAAATGTGGTAGGAAGTGGAGTGACCTCGCATCTTTTGTGCAGGGATGTTTGCCGGGCCTGAAACCCGGTTGAGATGGAGCGTTTTGAAAAGAGAGTAGTTTGGAGTAGTTGCGTCTCCTTTACTTTCGGGTGAGTTCTTTAAGTAAAGTCCTAGGAAAGACCCAAATTGAAAATTCCATCCATCTTTCTTCCTACTTTCTTTCCTTCTTCCGTCCAACCATCCAACCACCCACCCATCCACCCATCCACCCCTCTATCCATTCATCTACCTACCCATCCGTCCGTCCATCCATCCCCCCTTGATAAATCTCCATTAGTCATCTGTTGCTCCCTGGCACCAAAACTTAATGGTTTAAAAGACAATAATTCATTATCATGGTTTCTGAGGGTAAGGAATCAGGACTGACTGGCTAGTTAGTGCTGGCCGTTGGTGAGAGACCGCAGTCCCCCTCCACCTGAGCCTTTCCAGAACGCTGTTCCAGTGTCTTCCCAGCGTGGTGGCTGACTTCCTCCTAAGAGAGCAGCCCAAGGGACAACGCAGAAGCTGCAATGCCTTTTCCATCCTAGCCTCATATGTCAGACATTGTCCCTTCCACAGGATTCTGTCATTCAGAGTCAGCCCTTGTTTAGTGTTGGAGGAGGCAACACAGGGGCATAAAGCCCAGGAGATGAGGCTCACTGGGGGCCATTTTGGAGGCCAGCAACCACCATTCGTCCACCCATCTAGCCATCCTTTTGTCCTCTGTCCATCCATTCAATCAATAAATATTTGCTGGGCTCCAATTCGTGCCAAGGCCTGGAAACAACACACATACACCCCAAAACCAACCCAAAACCCACAGAAAAGAGGAAGCCCCACAGAAGAAAGCCACTGTTGAACATTTCCCTCCAGTTTTTTTCTTAACATTTTATTTTTTTTTAAGATTTTATTTATTTATTTGACAGAGAGAGATCACAAGTAGGCAGAAAGGCAGAGAGAGAGGAAGGGAAGCAGGCTCCCTGCTGAGCAGAGAGCCCTATGTGGGACTTGATCCCAGGACCCTGAGATCATGACCTGAGCCGAAGGCAGCGGCTTAACCCACTGAGCCACCCAGGCGCCCTTTTCTTAACATTTTAAAACAACTTTATTGAGATAAAATTCACATACTATACCATTATCTCACTTAAAGTACACCATTCACTGGTTTTTAGTGTATTCACAGTTGGAAAACCATTGCCACAAGCAACTTTAGAATTTTTTTTTTTATTACCTCAAACAGAAACCCCTGCCCCTTAAGCATTTTCTCCCCATTTCCCCTTTTCTCCAACCACCTAAAATCACACACTTACTCTCTCTCTCTAGATTTGCTTTTTTCTGGACATTCCAGGTAAATGGGACCGTACATGATGTGCTGTCTCGCGACCAGCTTCTTAGCGTGATGTTTGCAAGGTCCATCGGTGTTGTCGTGGGTGGACGTCAATCCTTCAGTTCTCTTTGTTGCTAGATACATTCCGCTGGACGGGCAGACCACACTTTCTTTATCCACCTATCAGGCGGTGGACATCTGCCTTATGTTCTCACCATTTGGCTGTTGTGAATAACGCTGATATTAACATTCATGGTCAAGTTTTTGTGTGGACATGTATCTCCAGCTGTCTTGGGTCTACACCTCAGAGTAGAATTGCTGAGTCATACCATAACCCTATGGTTAACCTTTTGAGGAACTGCCCTATTATTTTCCAAAGCAGCTGCCCCATTTTACATTCCCACCAGTGCTGTATGAGGGCTCTGATTTCCCCCCATCCTTGTCAACACTTGTGATTGTCTTTTTTTTTTTTTAAAGAAAGCTCTACCCCTAATATGGGGCTCGAACTCAAGACCCTGAGATCCAGAGTCCCACGTTCTACCGACTGAGCCAGCCTAGTGCCCCTGTTCCTTTCTTTTCTATTTTTGCCTCCCTGGTGTGTGTGGTGTCTCATGTGATTTCATTTTGCAGTTCCCAGGTGGTTAACGATGTTGAGTATCTTTTCATGTATTTTTTTGGCTATTTGTCCGTCTTCTTTGGAAAAAAGAAAAGTGTTCATTTGGATTTTTTTGCCCATTTTTTTACTGGTTTGTGTGTCTTTTTGAGTCGTTAGATTCCTTTATATTCTAGATACATGACACAAGTCTCTTATCAGATACATGATTTTCAAATACCCTGCCGCATTCTGTGGCCTCTAGTTCTTTTCCATGGTACTTTTTTCTTTTCTTTTTTATTTATTTATTTATTTATTTATTTATTTATTTTTTAATTTATTTTTTTTTTAATTTTTTTTTTAATTTATTTGACAGACAGATCACAAGTAGGCAGAGAGGCAGGCAGAGAG